TATGAGTCAAGGCCCAGATTTCAACAATCAAGCAAAACTTGGTCCACACAGTTTTCAGTGTGGAGAGCTGTTTTCAAATGCTGTAGAAGCCAGGGCTCAAACTGCTGTTACTCAGTCATATGTTCCAAGTGGAAGAACTAACAATGACTGAGCTGAAGTGGTAGCCTCTTAACTTGATCAAAACCGGATCCTTCTGAGTGTTTTCTACTTCATTTTCCATCATCTTTCCCTGAGCCCTATGGGTCCATAGTCTGAAATGATGAGGGTTATCAGACAAGCAGAGATCCAAGTTGGGGAATGCACAACATCCTGTGCTTATGATATGTTTGTGAAAACTAACTTGCAGGAATTCAGTCCTAAAATAATATAAAACATGTTTTTCTTTCTCCTGTTAATATATCATCTAGTCTCTTCTTCTGTTGCTAAATGGTAATATTTCTTTGCTCAGCTCTTTGGACGTTTCTGTGGTTTATTGGGTTCTGTGTGCTGACAAACCAGTGGGCATCAACACAGTCTGCAGTTGTAATCATTGGTGCTGATTCTGCTCGTGCCTCAATTGCATTCAGCTTCTTCTCCATTTTCTCATGGGTGAGTGAGGATTTATCTGTTTCTCTGTCTTAAGAAAGCTGAAAACATTCCAGGCACTGTACCCATTACCTTTTGCATTGGGCAGTTGCTATGCTTACTCATTAAAGAAATTGAGCACAAAACGAGGAGGTAGTTGATTCAATTGTCATTATAGGCCTACACTTCTGGGATTGTTTTTACAAAGTCTTTTTTCTGGGCACCCAGTCCCTTTTAGGGAGTGATGGAAGAGAGTGGCAGGAAGAGAAACTTATGTTGCAGCAATATGTCTGCAGTAAACAATGCAATGAAGCTTGACCAGGAAAGAATGGGATTCCATTTTAAGTGATCCTACTATAGCTGGTGTGTGCTTACACTCAACAGAGTAAACAACTGCCTCCAGAATAATTTACTGAGTATGTGTGAAGAACAAAGCAGAAAGAAAACAGAGCAGCCTCACCAACTCTCCTGGCATATTGAAAAGCATAGCTCTTGCCACTAAAATGGAAATTGTGTGAAAAGGGGAGGGTTTTTGTGATTATGTATTTTATGTTTTGCTAACGCTATGAAGTAATGTCAAAAATAACTGTTTATAATGCTAAGAGTTCTTATTAAAAAGCAAAATGCTATTTTAAAAAATCATCTATGTTTTTCTGTTACTTCCACAATTGATGCGTTTTCCTGATGCCAATGTTCATCCTGTGAACATTGTGATGTTCTTTCACTGCGAAGCCAGTGAAAAGTGGAGGCTTTTTGAAAGACAAAAGTCATCCTAGAATGGATTTTGGAAGCTTTCAGATGGTTTCTAGAAAAATCAAAATATTTTTGTTTATTTTTGCAAAGGTCATCTGATCTGATTGTTTCACAAAGTAAAGTGAATTTTGGTTAAAATGTTGTTTATATATAGTGAACTGGCTTCTATTTTTTGTATAGAAATATATCTCTTGATGTTGAACAGGGCCCGGTCCTGTTCAACATCTTTATTAATGACTTAGATGAAGGGTTAGAAGGCAGGATCATCAAGTTTGCAGACGACACCAAATTGGGAGGGATAGCCAATACTCCAGAGGACAGGAGCAGAATTCAAAACGATCTTGACAGATTAGAGAGATGGGCCAAAACTAACAAAATGAAGTTCAACAGTGACAAATGCAAGATACTCCACTTTGGCAGAAAAAACGAAATGCAAAGATACAGAATGGGGGATGCCTGGCTCGAGAGCAGTACGTGTGAAAAAGATCTTGGAGTCCTCGTGGACAACAAGTTAAACATGAACTAACAATGTGATGTGGCGGCAAAAAAAGCCAATGGGATTTTGGCCTGCATCAATAGGAGCATAGTGTCTAGATCTAGGGAAGTAATGCTACCCCTCTATTCTGTTTTGGTTAGACCACATCTGGAATATTCAAGAGAGATATTGACAAGCTGGAATGTGTCCAGAGGAGAGCGACTAAAATGATAGAAGGTCTGGAGAATAAGCCCTATGAGGAGCGGCTTAAGGAGCTGGGCATGTTTAGCCTGAAGAAGACAAGGCTGAGAGGAGATATGATAGCCATGTATAAATATGTGAGAGGAAGCCACAGGGAGGAGGGAGCAAGCTTGTTTTCTGCTTCCCTGGAGACTAGGACGCGGAACAATGGCTTCAAACTACAAGAAAGGAGATTCCATCTGAACATGAGGAAGAACTTCCTGACTGTGAGAGCCGTTCAGCAGTGGAACTCTCTGCCCCGGAGTGTGGTGGAGGCTCCTTCTTTGGAGGCTTTTAAGCAGAGGCTGGATGGCCATCTGTCAGGGGTGATTTGAATGCAATATTCCTGCTTCTTGGCAGGGGGTTGGACTGGATGGCCCATGAGGTCTCTTCCAACTCTTTGATTCTATGATTCTTTTGCCATGTTATTTGTACATCTAGTGTCAAAGTTTTCAGAAATACATCTGCTTGGTAATCTGAGTTTTAATTAATTCCCAGTGTGGCCCTTCCTGAGCCTTCTATCTGCAACAAAGATGTCACACTGACTTTCCTCACAGGAAGTGTTGTAAAAACAACTGAGCTCTAGACTCATGTATAATCACTTGGTACAGTAAAGTCCCGGAGTTCACTTTAATTTGTCTGTCGATGGAGAGGTAATGGGACACTGGATGCGGCATGAAACATTACAGCAGTGGTTCTCAACCTGTGGATCCCCAGGTGTTTTGGCCTACAACTCCCAGAAATCCCAGCCAGTTTACCAGCAGTTTCAATTTCTGGGAGTTGAAGGCCAAAACATCTGGGGAAGCACAGGTTGTGAACAGTGTTACCTGACTCAATAATCTTGACAAGTACAGAACTCTTTATCAAAGATTTATCTGCATGTTTATTCAGCAAGACTCCTTTAGTTTGGATTGACCAATAGGATGAAGGCCTATGTCTCTGTTCACAGACTACAGTTCTGTGGATGTTAAGCTACAAAGATAATCTTTTTTTTTTCTCCACAGGGGCTCCTGATCACTTTTGCCTTGCAACGCTATCGCATGGGTGTCCAAGATTTTGACCACAGCTATGTCGACCCTGCTCCAGGTCCTATCCCCCCCTACTCCAGTTTCCCCAATGTTGGCCATGACAGCTACCAGCAACCGCCCTTCACCCGGACAGTGGAGGACTCAGAGGGCTACCAGCCTCCCCCCGTGTACTGATTGCCACTGGTACTGCTGAAAGCAGATGGCAGGGATAGCCACATAAGTGCAATTGATTCACTGCTTGGGTTGGGGAAAAGGCCTCTGCTCTGAAGAGCTAGAGTGCCTTGGCTTTTCTGTGTGATTGTTATATATGTGTGTGCAATGGTCTCTGAAGTATTCCTGCTGTACCGTCCTTTTTTGAAGCTTATTTCCTCATAAAAATGCTTTCTGTTCCTTTCGGGGTGGAAAGCTTTCTTGCTGGTCAGCGTGCCTTGAAAAATGTAGCTGTCACTGAATCTATGGAGAGGACTTCTGTGTGTTGAAAAGAGTTGGATGGTTGTGTCTGCGTTGTTGCAGCTAACCCCAACTCCTGGTCTGACACTGGCTAGAGATTTTGTCCAGCACTAGAGGAAAGGTATTCCTCCTTTCTACTGTGGATACCAAAGTGGAGATTCTTGCTTGTACCAGTCCAGTAGTGCAGGCCTTTCCCATCAGGTGCCTTGGGATCCATAACTCGTTTTTATTATTTCAGACCCAGGGAGGGGCTTAGTTCCCACGGCTCCTATGGGGCTGCCTTTCTAGACTGAGTCATGCAGGTGAAGTGCCTTGTTCTTGCTCCTCAGCTGCCAGGAATGCCAAAGCCTAGGCCTGAAGGTCTTGCTATTTCTTTCAAAGAATTTGTATATAAAGATTTGAATTAATGTATTACAGAGAATAGAAGTCGGGTTTCTGTGTGCTTAGTTTGCTGCCAATTTTAGTCCTGGCTCGCAGTGGGAGGGGCCAGGCTCTCACACTGAAGACCATAACAATTGCTTTTCTGTGCTAAGATTCTCATAGAATGTTGTATCTGTCGCTGCCAAATAAAACAGCCAAGATAAGGCCAGTTGTATCTGGTATGGAAAATGCACTTGCAGAAAGCTTACACTGCTAACCTTCCCCAAAGGGGTACCAGGCCTTTCAGGGAAAGCTGTGCCTTCTGTTTACTCCTCGTAGTCCCTGCCTTTGAGGCACTGGGGAACTGTTTCTGCATTACAAGAAACAGTTGGGAAAATACTAATACGTTCAGGAATGTTTTGGATGTGTTACTAGTAGAAATAAAGCTTGTCACTCCCACCAATGTAGACTGTCTGGTCAGTTTTGTTATGGTCCTGCCGTTTCAGGGGGGAAGTTAAATATTTATTTACCGTATTTATATACCGCCTTTCTCAGCCAGAAGGCGATATTCTGTTTCATAGGGGCAAGGAGTGAAGTACCAAATATACTTGAGTATAATCTGAGTTTTTCAGCCATTTTTTTGGCTGAAAAAGCTCTCCTTAGCTTATACCTGAGTCAAGGTCATTTATTATTTTACTTTGTTATTATTGTATTATTACATTTCCATTATTTTACTCTATTATTTTTATTACATTTATTATTTTACTCTATTTTTGGAAGGATACGTAAACACATTTACACTGAAGTTTAGAATAATGGTTTAAACAGAGTTGGACAATCTTATCTTAGGTTTTTTTTGTAAATATTCAAAAACATTTAACCTCCTGATGCCTCACTTAATGTAATTTTATTGTTATCTATTTTTATTTTGAAATTTACCAATAGCTGCTGTATTTCCTACCCTCAGCTTATACTCAGTCAATACGTTTCCCCAGTTTTTTTGTGGCAAAATTGGGTGCCTCGGCTTATACTTGAGTATGTATGAGAACTGAGTAAATTCTTAGTAAACAAACAGCTAGCCCCTACAAATGAGGTTAGAAATCAAATGAGATCCAAGGTAGAGGCAGACATTGAATATTAATATTTTTATTAAGACAGCATTACTTAAAAACAACCTTTCTTTTAAATGAAACCTGCAGGCAAGTACAACACATCTTCATACTGCCCTGAAGGGAAATGGAGTGGCCCTAGGTTACGTTTAAGTGCAGTAGCATAAGCTGGTTGTCGAAGGGAACGCAGTCACTAATTCATCACTCCAAGCCGACAATAGTAAGAATAATCGGTCAGAAGCAGACATTTAGAGAGATAGCAGTTGCATAAAGACTGGACATGATTGATGCTACCTGCAAATCTGAATAAATTAGAAAGTGAAGGCACACTGGGAAAGTCTAACTTTTTAAGTATTTCTTGTTCAGCTTCTAACTACACACTGCAAGGTTAAAGACTTCAGCTGTGGAAAGGCTTTTCTGGTCCAAGTACTCATTCTGGAAGTCAGCAAAAGTTCACAGAACTGCCGCATAGATCTAAGATCCAAGCGATATTGTCAAGTGAGCTAGCTGTTAAATAAAGCACATAGGCAAGGACTGGGAAGAAGTTGACTTCAAATAGTATTCAACAAGAATAGAGCTTGAAACGTAGTGTTCTGGTCTTTATATGAAATACGTTTCCCCAGTAAGTACTGTCTATCCGAAACAGACATGGCAGTTAAATTCAGAAGTAAATATTGCAAGAGGAAATAAAAAGCAATTCTGTAGCATGTTGACATTAAGAAATCTTGCCTCTAAAGACCAAGCAAGATAGACATTACTAGCAGAGAGCAGTTTTCAGCACAGAACAGCCAAGTCCCAAAGCCTGTTACATTGGGCTCCAGTTTGCTTTTCCTACACAGAAGATTTTTCTTTGATGAGCGTGGTCCTTTGCAACAACTCAGCTTAAGCAACCCAGAGCCAAAATGAAGTTTGAACAATTGCTTTCCTGTCCCAGCCCACCTCACAGTCCCTTAGTTCTTGTATTCAATTTGGGGAGCTCCATTGAATGTTCTGACAAACGCCCAGGACTTTCCGGGAAGCAGGAAGATCCAAGTGCTTATGACCAACTGGTAGGTTCTCTTTGTTCTCAGCTGGCTGCTGTGGCCGTTTCTTGAAGTAGCAGACGCGGCAGACAGAATGATACTTGTCTGCTCCTCCTATTACTTCCACCTATTTGGGACAAAAGAAGAATTTTAATGGCATCCCTCACTGAACAATTCCTGTCCTCCATTTACAACTGGTATGTCTCTGTTTCATAAGATCAGCCTTTCTAAGGAAAGGAAGGGGAAACTCCCTGGAAGCGTACCTCCTTCTCTGCTCCTAGCCTCTTTGTGTACGATGCCTCACGAAAACACTCCATGCAGACAGCATTCAGTTTCACCACACTTTCTGCTAAGGGAACTAGTTGCAAAATGTTGCCAAATGCCTGCAACAAGACAGCATCACAAAGGTATCACAGTTGGAAGGCCCAAATATTGTTCACATTATATCCACTTTTTTGTCTAAGACTGGGCCTCAAGGCAACGTAAAAGCAAGACCAAATGAAATACAGAAATTTAGGTAAACTTTACCTTTCTCTGGAAGGTCCCATCAAGGGCTGCCACAATGACAGTCTTCCCTGCGTTGGCCATTGCCTCACAGAACTCAATGATATCTGGAAACTAGAAGGGAGAAGATAAGTTGTGATTTTGGAAAGTGCAATTCTAGTCTAAAATATATCATCCCTTGTTCAACAAGAAAATCCTGTTCTGAGAAGCAACAATAATAACTATTTTTGTACCCTGCCTCCATCTCCCTGAAAGGACCCGGGGCAGCTTACATATGGCATAAAGTGCCTAAAACAAAACATAAAATAAACACACAGTACACTACAATAAAGTAAAACCAAAAGCATATAAAACAACAATTTAAAACTCAGAACAATGCCCAAAGACCTCTGGAGATAACTACCACAAGACATGGCCAAACTGTAAACAAGATGAGGGAATGAGATAGTGCAAATTGTAGCCAAGAAATCTTCAAGATATGTGAAGGAAATGTTTTCGAAACATAAATGAATTTCACATTTAGACTTCTATCTCTCAAGATATCATGTGTGTGTACACGTACACACACACTTAAAAACCCAAAACTCTTCTTTATCAAGCATTTCAGATAAATGATACTTGACTTGTACATACAGTAGAGACTTGCTTATCCAACATAAATGGGCCGGCAGAACGTTGGATAAGTGAAAATGTTGGATAATAAGGAGTGATTAAGGAAAAGCCTATTAAACGTCACGTTAAGATTTTACAAATTAACCACCAAAACATCATGTTTTACAACAAATCGACAGAAAAAGCAGTTCAGTACACAGTAACGTTATGTAGTAATTACTGTATTTACAAATTTAGCATCAAAACATCGCAATGTATTGAAACCACTGTGGATCCAGGCGGGAGGCGGATTGCATTGGATAATACAGAATGTTGGATGAGCGAGATTCTACTCTATTTGAGGGAACAGATCTCATTTGTGTTGACTTCAGCTTAGGCCACTTACTTGCATCTTAGCCTCACAGTTTGTCTTTCTGTGAAGTGGGTATTTTGGGAGTGCCTCTACTGACAGAAATGGGCAACTGCAGTAGATTAGAGGGCCATAATAGAGTCCACTGAGATTTCTGAGGGCTCCTCCCGCATTGCAAAAGAAAACGGAGCATGGAGAGCATTTCACTATGTTTTAGGGCCCTTCACAACAGGAAATGGCTCCTCTGTTTAAGAAAACAATCTCTCCTGGGCCTAAAGTGGACCAAGGCAAAAATGTCTGCCTTAAATTCCAAATGTGCCCTGACCCAAGGCTTCCATCTAGGACAGAGGTGTTAAACTTGCAGCCCTCCAGATGTTTGGGCCCCCAATTTGCCCAATGGCAAGAAATGTTGAGAACTAAAGTCCAAAACACCTGGAGCTCCACACATTTGACACCACTTATATAGAAGGAGAGTACCTCATCTAATAATGCTGTTTCTGAGAAGTAAAAGGTACACAACACAACATAATTCCCAAACTTTTAGCAGCTGATATACAAACCACTCTGCTGAAGACAATTCCATTTTGCACCAACCAGCCTTAGCTGACTGATCACGAATTCTCCTAGGATGCAACAGGGATTTTTTTTTTACTGCTTCAAAACAAGGAACCAGTATTATGCTACAGGGCTTAGCAAGGACTTCCTGACTACATTGTAACACCACAGGTTGTTCAACTACTTTCACTTCCTTAATCTTCATTCTAAAAACACGGATGTTATTCTCTAGACACTGACTTCATTATCCAGTTTCGTTACCCCAGTTATTAAAGGTTCCTTTGCAGACAAAAGTTTTTAATCATTCTTACAGACACGATAATATGAAATTAAACTCTAGAGAAATATAGCTTATATTTTCCTATGCTGTTCATATCCTCAAGGTTTTAAAAGGAGGAGGAGGTGGTTTCAGGAAGGGAACTTATTGGAAAACTGAAGATGAAACAAGACTGCACCTTCTTCTGGAACTAAAGTTCTGGAGTTCTCAAACTCTCAGGTCACTTTCTGTAGCTTTAAGTGAGCCAGGAAAAGCTATAAACAATGTAATATTCCAACTGCAGTTTGGAGTATTCTGAAATTCCACTGTGATTGTGCTTTTTAAACCTCAAAGCCAAACACCTGCATGCATGCTTGCATGAACAGAAGTGTCGTCAAACGAAACAGTATGAGGTGAGCAGGATGTGTACGAAGACATTCAGGTGCATCCTGTTGTGATTTGCCCACTGGTGTGGACAGAGCCAAGAGGATTCCTTACAATAGAAAGGATGGTAGGATCAAATTGTATGGAAACTAGGGTGCAAATCTGCAGTGAAAAGCAATGTAAAAAAAAAAAAACCCACCACAATATGCTATTGGGTTCCACCTACATTAACTTTTGTCTACACAGTGTAGAATCACAGGAGCAGTCTAGCAGCACTGGTGAGGTCTCACAGAGCCCTGCTCTGTATCAAGGGTGGGCTGAAATAGTCTTGGAGTGGGTTGTATATTTTGCTCTGTTTGTGAAAATATTTTACATTCATAAAGCCAAGTGTATATTCTTTGGGATTTATTCATAGCAAAGGCACAGCTATTTTTCTTATTTTTTCCTGAAATACCCACTTGCTTTTGGGAAAATGTCCTCAAACAGGCTGCCAATTGCAACATTCACACTTGCCTCCAACAAACAAGAATTCTTTCTCCCAACCTGGACATTATTCCAGATATATAAACCCCACTTGCCTAATTTACAACAGACCTTGCAACCTCTGAGGATGCCTGCCATAGATGTGGGCAAAGCATCAGGAGAGAATGCTTCTGGAACATGGCCAGACAGCCTGGAAAACTCACAGCAACCCAGCTCTGATATTGCTTCACAGAGCTTACAGTGCAACACTACACAGGATGCCCCAAGAGGCTCATTGAGCTCAACAGTAAGTAAATATAAAAGCATTGCCCAAGCCCCAATAACTCTTTGGGAAATAATTAGCACTTCGGATTTGGAATTCGACTGGATTGGCGATACAGCTGTTAATACTGTTTTTATTGTTTTAATTAATGTTTTATTTATTGTTTCATCTATTGCTTTAATTGTTGTTATATTGCTTGGTTATATGTTGTGACATTGAATTGTGCCAAATGTAAGCCGTCCTGAGTCCCCCTTCGGGGGTTGAGAAGGTATGGGGTAGAAATACTGGAAATAAATGAATAGCAGTCCTGGACCACCATGAACTTACAAACTGGCCTTCATCAATGCCAATCACAGCAGAGCTGAGAGCTTCTTGATGCACATCTTTCAGGCAACAAGCAGATACCGCTTCCATGGTGTTCCTGCACAGAAAAAGAAATGTTCCATCATGGATCAGCCATTATGATGTGTGCCCACTACCCTCAAATCTAGATTGCCTCTACACAACTAAACTTGTGCATTAAAATAATGCAATTAAGAGTTCTATAAACATTGTCTGCCTCCCTGTCATTTTCTATGTGTATATGCCTTTCAGTAGATAATCATACAATTGTTACTAAAACATGAGCCCCTGAAGAGATGCTGTCTTATGGTCTGATTTGGATACACTCAACCATAGGCTATGTAAGGAAAGCAGTTCAGATAAAGCAATGTGTGCAAAATGATTTCCTTGCAGATGCACAACAGAGGAGTGACAACTCCCAAAGCCCCCAGCCAGGATGGCCACACCCCAAAGTGGCCACGATTCCATTTTAGTTCTTGTAAAACTTGCTTCTATGCACAAAAGACATTATCCATTATTTGCACACACAAAAAATGCCCTAGATGTGGATGGTTGCTCTAATAAAGAAGGAGAGTCATGTGGCTGGGTAGAATTCTAATTATTCCTAATTATGAGTTATGCTTATTAGGTATAATGGGAGCTGCAATTCAGCAATGTCTGGAGAGTCAAAGAATAGCAAGCTACCAAAAACAATTAGTACTCTTACAGAAGTCAGAAAATAATATCTGAACTTAGTTGCCCCTCTCATTTTATTAAATTCCTGATGGATATCTTTCCTACTTATACAAGGAATATTAATTTACATGTATCTCTTTTACATATTTTATTCAGTTTCTGCACATCACCAGGGACTGAGTTTACTTCTACACCAGGTATAGGCAAACCCAGGCCTGGGGGCTGGATGCGGCTCCTTGGGCTCTTTTCTCCAGCCCTCCTCCTCTCTCTCCATCCTAGCCTTCCTTCCTTCCTCCTTCCCTCTTACCCCTTCCCCTCCACCCATTCATCTTTCCTTTCGGCCCTCTCCCCCTCCTTCCCTTTTGTTTTTCCTTGCTTCTCTCTTTCCTCCCTTCCACCCTCCCTTCCCTTTTTCCTTCCTACCTGCCTCCTGGGGATGTTTAGCTGGGAGAAGAGAAGGTAGAGAAGGAACATGAGAACCATGTTTCAAGATTTCAAAGGGTGTCCCATTGAGAAGGAGGAGGGGGAAAACTGACTTTCTGTTGCTTTAGAGACCAGAGCACAAGGGAGCAATGGTTTCAAATGGCAGGAAAAGAGATTCGACTGAAAAGATTAGGAAGACCTTCCTGAGAGTAAGAGCTGTTAGAGTGGCGCAGGCTGCCTGGGAGTGTGGTGAAGTCTCCTTCTCTGGAGGCTTTTCCACAGAGGCTATCTATCGGGAGTGCTTAGGTTGTGCCTTCTTGCACGGCAGGGGATTAGACTGGATGGCCCTTGGGGGTCTCTTCCAGCTCTAGGATTCTATATCAGGAGTAGGCAATATGGGGTCTGATGGATACACTTTTTCTCTCCCGCCCTCAGCCACCCTGCAGCACCCAAGTTAGAAAGTTTGCCCATGCCTGATCTACACTGAAGAATTAATCCACTTTGATACCACTCTAACTGCCATGGGCCAATCCTATGGAATCCTGGAAGTTGTAGTTTTCTGAGAAGCCAGTCCTCTTCGGCAGGCCATATAAAACTACAACAGCCATGATTCCATAGTACTGAGCCATGGCAGTTAAAGAAGTGCCAATTGGCATTATTTCTACAGTGTAGAATTGAAACCGATCATACATTAAGCTCAACACTATAGTTGTAAAGCCAGTCAGTCTGTCAGTAACCTTTATTTCGGTTGAAGTCAAGTAGGAATAAATTACAACCTTTAAAGCACAAAAACTGAATATAAGCAAAAACTGGAATCTTGGAATGGCAAGTTGTCAGATATGCTGCCTAGCTATTTGCTATGATCAATGACATAGAACAACATACATGTATTTTGTACCCACGGTTGTTTTTTGATCAAGCAAAAAGAATTACATTCAAATTTTCTTTCTGTTAAGGTGAACTGTATATACAATGCCTTTAGCGCCTCACCTGTCATGCGTGGAAACTCCATTGACACTGTAGCGCGTGTCCTTCGCGTACTTGATCAACAGGCACTTGTACTGCGCAATCTGGAAACGTCGGACTCGGCGCATGAGTTCGGTACTGCAAAAACAAGAAGGGAGGCTACTCAGGAGTACTTAGCACCCAGAGGAGGAGGACTGAAGCACAAAACTAGTGACTTTGATCACCCTGCCTCAAAAAACCCATAATGCCTGCTATCTCCCCAAATCGATCTCCCTGCCAGGCCCTTTGATTAAAGGCATTCCTTACAATTTTACCATCAGAGAAACAGCAACATTATAGATCTGGACAAGGCATGGGCAAACTTGGGCCCTCCAGGTGTTTTGGACTTCAACTCCCACAATTCCTAACAGCCTTTAAGAATTGTGGAAGTTGGTCCAAAACACCTGGAAGGCCTAAGTTTACCTGTGCCTGGACTCTGAACATGTGAGTCCAGGCACATGGTCCAATCCCAGCTTTATAAGAAAGATAGGCAATTATTGCTATTTTCTGGTTTCCCCCCTTTCCTTACAGTTTCCATCAGCCTACCCAGCAGTAAGGAATTTGGGGAGTTTTAGTCCAAAATAACCAAATATATAGGACACCAGTTACCTGTCCCTGCATTACAGGAAAGTGCATAGCCAGTGAAATAAAAGTAGAGTCATGGTTGACCTTCCTGGGAACAAAGATGCCACCAAGTGAGGCTCAAAACACACTCTGGCACATATCTTAACAAATATATAATCCATCAAGATATGCTTTGGTTCCTTTTTGCCTAGGTTTCTATATCACAGCCAGTTTATAGACTTGCCTTTCCCATATCAGTTTCCTCCAAATAGTTTGAACTTCTGGGTTGCTGTGAGTTTTCCTGGCCATATGGCCATGTTCCAGAAGCATTCTCTCCTGACATTTCACCCACATCTATGGCAGGCATCCTCAGAAGTTGTGAAGTCTGTTGGAAACTAGGCAAGTGGGGTTTATATATCTGCAGAATAATGTCCCGGGTGGGAGAAAGAACCCTTGTCTGCTTGCGGCAAGTGTGAATGTTGCAATTGGCCACCTTGATTAGCATTAAATAGCATTGCAGCCTCAAGGCTGCTTCCTGCCAGGCCTTGAGGCTGCAAGGCTATGTAATGCTAATCAAGGTGGCCAATTGCAACATTCACACTTGCCTCACTTGGAGATGTTACCTCACCCTGATTGAATCTTATCTGGAATTCCCCTCTTTTATTAGTGTTCTTCTTTATCTACTGCCCTGATTTTGGAGTTTTTAAGTATAGTTAGCCAGATTTTTTTTTCATTTGCATGGTTTCCTCCTTTCTGTTGAAATTGTCCACCTGTTACTGGATTTCAACGGCTTCTCTGTGTAGCCTGACATGGTGGTCGTTAAGAGTGGAGGAAACTATGAAAATTAAAAAAAACTCTAAAATCAGGACAGCAAATAAAGAGCAACACCTACAAAGCAGGGGAATACCAGGCAGGAATTCCAGCTAACACCTCTCAACAAAGGCTCCCCCAGGCAGTAAGCAGCCAGGCTTTGAAGCTGAAAGGCCATTCAGTGCAAATCAAGGTAGCCAATTGCAACATTCACACTTGCCTCCAACAGACAAGCGTTCTTTCTCCCACTCTGAACATTATTCTAGATATATAGACCCCACTTGCCTAATTTCCAACAGACCTCACTACCAATGAGGACGCTTGCCATAAATGCAGGTGAAACATCAGAAGAGTATGCTTCTGGAACGTGGCTAGAAAACTCACAGCAACCCAGTGATTCCGTCCATGAAAGCCTTCGACAACAGTTTGAACTTCCATTCCCAATGCTCCTATCAGGAATATAGGGAGCTGTAATTCAAAAAACCTGGACTTTACCACCTTCTGTGGCATTTTATGAAAGTGCAGGCAAGAACTATCTAGTCCAACCTCTGCTGTGCAGGAATTCACAGTTAAAGCTCACTGAGGCTGGATCTACATTATATGGTCAGAATAGAACCATACAATGCAGTTTAATGTAGTTAAACCACATTATTTGGGTCTATACTAGGCATGGGCAAACTTTGACCCTCCAGGTAGTTTGGACTTCAACTCCCACAATTCCTAACAGCCTACTGTTAGGCTGGAGGGTCAAAGTTTGCCCCTGCCTGGTATATATTGACCATGCAATGAAATTCCAAACTGCATTAGATGGCAGTGTAGATCCAGCCTGAGGGATTATCATGAGAACACTAGTAAATGTAATTGATAGTACTTGAACATGTAATGAAACCAGAACCCAAGTCACAGTTGTGTTCAGATACATGTTCATTTCATCTCTCTAACATACCTTTTCCCGGAGAACATGGGTCCAAAGATGACCTAAAGTGGGGAAAGAGAGAAAAAAACCGTGTTGAATTTTACCCCGTTCGTGTATTAGTTGGTCCTCCATATCCACGGTTTCTGTATCCACTGATTTCCCCATCCACGGCTTGAAAATATAAAACCAGTCACAAAAAAGGATGCCTTGATTTCCCCAACGTTATATAAAGGACACAATGTCCCCACTTCATTGTCTATAAAGCCCCTGACCCATAATTGCAGACCCTGCATCCCAAACTCTCATTGACCCCCCTGCCCTCCCCAGAAATATCTCCTTTTCCTACCTGGATCTGGCCCCGGGCCTTGCGAGGCGACCCCGGCTGCACCCCTGGCATCATCAAGCAGTTCATCTTCCCAAATCCCGCCGGTGTTTCAAGGCACAGACGCTTGAACCAACAGCCTCTCCTTTGAGCGCGCCGTTTTTGCCCTCTTTTATAGCCGGCGCTGACAATGGACCAATCAGAACGGGCCCTGGCACCAAACTGGCGCTCGAAAGACACTTCGGCGCGTCCTGGCCAATCACAGGCCAGGCGGGAAAAAACTACATTCGAAGTGGTTGACCGCCTTCGCCTCCAGAGGCTAAAGAGGGAAGTCTTCCTCCTCTCATGTTTTGCTGATTGGGGAAGACGCATACACACACACACACTTCCGGAACTAGTCTTTTGAAACTCTTTGGTCTTATCAAAACGTCATTTTCTCCTTTGTTTGCGGAGACTTTCATCTTCATAGAATGAAACAGCTTGACCCCCGGCTCAATACCATGGAATCCTGGGAGTTGTAGTTTTCCAAGGCCTTAGCCTTCCCTGCCAAACTACAAATCACACTATTCCTTAGCAGTTAAAGTGGTTTGCAGTTTCTCAAGTCGCTCCTCACACGAAAAAAAAAAATTAAAGTGGGGTCAAAGCCTAAAATGTATTGTCGAAGGCTTTCATGGCCGGAATCACTGGGTTGTAGGTTTTTTCGGGTTATATGGCCATGTTCTAGAGGCATTTTCTCCTGGCGTTTCGCCTGCATCTATGGCAAGCATCCTCAGAGGTAGTGAGGTCTGTTGAAAATACTAAAATGGGTTTATATATCTGTGGAATGACCAGGGTGGGACAAAGGACTTTTGTCTGCTGGAGCTAGGTGTGAATGTTTCAACTGACCACCTTGATTGGCATTGAATGGCTTGGAAGTGCTACACAGAGACTACACAGACTACACAGAGAAGCCATTGAAATCCACAAGCATGTGGACAATTTCAACAGAAAGGAAGAAACCATGAAAATGAACAAAATCTGGCTACCAGTATTAAAAAACTCAAAAATTACAACAGCAAAACAGAGAGTAAACAACCAGGCACATCAAATCACTCTCAACAAACGATTCCCCCCAGGCACTTCCAAGCCATTAAATGCTAATAAAGGTGGTCAGCTGAAATATTCACACCTAGCTCCAGCAGACAAAAGTCCTTTGTCCCACCCTGGTCATTCCACAGATATATGATTAATGATAATGCATTAAGGTAAAGATAAAAGTTTCCCTTGACATAAGTCTAGTTGAGTCCAACTCTGGAGTGTGTGTGTATGCCTCTTCCCCAATCCGCAAAGCATGCAAAGAGGAAGACTTCGCTCTTTAGCTTCTGGAAGTGAAGGCGGACAACCACTTCAAATGCAGTTTTTTTCCACCTGGCCTGTGATCTTCTAAGCTGAAGAGCCAGAGTTGTCCATACACACCTCCAAGGTCATTTGGCATGACTGCATGGAGCAGTGCTGCCTTCCCGCCAAAGTGGTACCAACTGATCTATTCACATTTGCATGTTTTTGAATTACTAGGTTGACAGAAGCTGGAGCTAACAGCGGGAGCTCACCCCGCTCCCCGAATTCAAACTGCCAATCTTTCAGTCAGTAAGTTCAGCAGCTCAGCAGTTTAATCCATTGTGCCACCACCATCCTAGCTAGTACTGGCATAATAGAACCAGGCTGCTATAGATAGATACATTCCATTTTGAGTTAAAGTAACCTTGACTTGAGAAGTGGCAATGAAAAGTCTTTTGGTACATTTCTTGGGAATAGGATGCAATGGGGAAAATATAATGTAAATCATCTCCCACTTTGCCTTCAAAACCTTGGGAAGAACAGCACAAAAACAGAACTTTTCTGATTTTTCTACATCTAGATCAGGGGTGCTCAAACTTTTTAAACAGAGGGCCAGGTCATAGTCCCTCAAAATGTTGGAGGGCCGGATTATAATTTGGGATAATGAATTCCTATGCACGCTGCACATATCTTATTTGTAGTGCAAAAAAAAAAACACTTTAAAACAATACAATAATTAAAATGAAGAACAATTTAAATAAATATAAACTTACTAGTATTTCAATGGGAAGTGTGGGCCTGCTTTTGGCTGATGAGATAGGGTTGTTGTTGTTGTTTCAGACTTAGGTTAACCCTGAGCAAGGGCTGGGTAAATGACCTTGGAGGGCCGTATCTGGCCCCCGGGCCTTAGTTTGAGGACCCCTGATCTAGATGGTCTCTTTGGTAGGGAAGGAGAGGGCTCCAATTCAATGCTCATTTCTCTTTACCAGCACTATGCTTATAAAAAAAAAACCCTGTAGTTTCCCAGTATTTTGGAAGGCACTTTCATTCACATAAAATAGCATTGTGCCAGGGGATCGGAGTTCCTCCAAACACACATCCGGGAGGAGGCCACAAGGGTGCGCTAGACAGAGATGGACAGTACATTAAGGTAAAGATAAAGGTTTTCCTTGACATTAACTCTGGGGGGTTGGTGCTCATCTCCATTTCAAAGCTGAAGAGCCAGTGTTGTCTGTAGACACCTCCAAGGTTATGTGCCTGGCATGACAGCATGGAGCAGTGTTACCTTCTCACCAGAGTGGTACCTATTGATCTACTAGCATTTGCATGTTTTCGAACTGCTAGATTGGCAGAAGCTGGGGCTAACAGCAGGAGCTCACCTCACTCCCCAGATTTGAATTGCTGAACTTTTGGCAAGACTGATTTTATTATTTATTGTTTTAATAATATAATAAATAAATAAATAAATATGATTTATGTTTTATGATTTATGTTTAATTGTGGTTTTATTATTGTGGTTGTTATGGATTGGCATTGCGTCAGTGTCCAATGTATGGCATTGAAGTTTTGCCAGTTATATGTAAACTGCTTTGAGTCCCCCTAGGGGTGAGAAAAGCGGTATAGAAATACTGTAAATAAATAATAAATAATTAAGCAGCTCAGTGATTTAACTAGTTGCGCCACTGAGGGCTCAGGATAGTACATTACCAGAAGTCAACATGACTAAAATGCTACAAGCACACTGTGGACATGGCATGAGATGACTAGGGTCCTTAGAAAGCGTGATACAGATTGAGTAGTACATCCCTTATCCGGAATTGCGACACCCAAAATACTCCCAAATTGTGTGGAATGGTGCCTCAGATATACTTTTGCTTCCCAGTGGTTCACATACAGAAACTTTGTATCATGCACAAAATTATTTAAAATAACATGTGTAAAATTACTTCCTGGCTAGGTCTGTAAAGTGAATTTCATGTTTAGACTTGAGTTCTATCTCCCAAGAAGTATATGCAAAAACAGGTATTCCAAGGCCCCCCCCCCCCCCACCAATCCAAAACATTGCTGGTTCAAAGCATTCTAGATAAGGGATATTCAACCTATAATGCTTAAAAAAATGAGGACAGTAGGAAAAGAGGAAACCCACATTTATTTTATTTTTTAAAAGCTTTTTAAAAAGCACTGAATTTTGATTTTGAGAAATAATATGCCAAAACTGGCTTGTTTCTCCTTTGATCTTTTTTAAAATGGCTGTTGGTATGACACTATGTCACATTGTTAATAACTTTCCACTTAGAAGAAAAAAAGATGAAACCAACATTATAAATGGAACCATTCAATCATGGGAAGCAGGTTCCTGAATTTTCAAGAACTATACAGAGCTGTTAGCGCAGCTACACTGCAAAAATTATGTAGTATTTATTTATTTACTATACTTATACCCTTTTCTTCTCACCCCGAAGGAGACTCAGAGCAGCTTACAATTTGGCCACTTCAGTGCCACATAACAACACAGTGCATAAAAATATCATAGTAAAACAATATACAAATAAACATATAAATACAATAAAACTGTTAAAAACATAATCCTAGACCAATGGTCATCCTTTATGCTGTTTTATTTGTGTCTGTTCCATATTATACTACTGCCCTTTTCCCCAACGCCTGGTTCCAGAGCCAGGACTTAATTTTTTCCTAATGACCAGGAGGGAGGGGGCCAATCTTACATCACTGGGGAGGAAGTTCCATAATCGAGGGGCCACCACTGAGAAGGGCCTGCCTCTCATCCCCACCAATCACATATGCAAAGGGGGTGGGACCGAGAGCAGGGCCTCCCCGGTATATCTTAACAATCTAGTCAGATCATAGGGAGAGATACAGTCAGACAGATAAGTTGGGGCCGGAGCTGTTTAGGTCTTTATAGGCTAAAGCCAGCACTTTGAATTCTGCTTGGTAGCAGACTGGCAGCCATTGAAGCTGGCGTAACAAGGGGGGTTGTATGTGCTCTGTACATCACTCTAGTGAGCATCCTGGCTGCCATCCATTGGACTACTTGGCGCTTCCGAACAGTCTTCAAAGGCAAACCCATGTAGAGAGTGTTGCAGTAGTCTATTTGAGATGTAACAACAGTGTGGAAAACCATGGCCAAATTAATGCAATTTGACACCACTGTAACTGCGATTGATCAATGCTATGGCAACATAGAAACTGTAGTTTTACAAGGTTTTAGGCCTTCTCTAACAAAGAGTGCTTGAGCCTCACCAAACTACAGCTCCCAGGACCATAGGAGGATGGGAGTCAAAGTGGTGTTAAACTGCATTTATTCTGCAATGTAGATGCATCCTGGGTTTCATAGCGGCTTCTAATTTATATGTAGAATAAGCATGTATTGAAGCTGACTTCCAATAAAAACCTACTTTCATACCTGGTAGCCAACAACAATAAGTGAAATGAATAGCCCAGGGAACAATGTTCCCTCCCTTGTATCTATTTCATGTTGTGAAATAACTAACAGCCATGTGGCAGGTAAACTTGCTTCAAATACTAAAATACATCAAACTAGGTGTCTTGATCATGATGTGATCTCAAAGTAACATGTTAATGTCTGATCAGAATAATAAGTTAACTTCTGGAGAAAAGCCTTATTTCATGGAGAGGACTATGTGGTGTTTAAAAATGATTACAATTTATGTTAATTATTTAAAATTAAAGCAATTTCCCTTTGAGACTAATACACATACTGCAAAAAGGTCTTGCAAAACAGATCCCCATTTTAGTTGTTTATCAGCTCACATGCAGAAGGTAGAATGGTTTAGAAAATGTTAGGACGGTGGAAATCAATAATTTTCGGAATTCACGACATTGACTGCCTGGTTTTTGATCATTCAGCTGCTGCCATAGTTGAATAACTAATATGTGTTACTAATTTTCCTTTTCAGATTCCCCCCTCCTCTTTTTGTTTTTCAACGGCTGCCTCATTTGGGTAATAAACTTTAAAAACATTACATAACACAGATTTATTATTTGAAAGCTATTATAATTACTGATGTACTTGTTTATCGAGGAGAAAACCAGAATGTTTCACAGTGCTAAATTTCCATATCTAGTGGCAGTAGCAAAAGACTGTTAATGTTATCAAATGTAACCTTGTGGCCATTTGGGACTCAGCATTGACAGAACTATTTGTTTAACAGCAGGAATATGAAAGCATCTCATATTTTGGTTCCTCAGAAAATTGTTAGTTTCACGGCGTAAAAACATGTATAATGATTTCATTATAATTGAGATTAGAACACAGTAGGAAAGCATGGAATAATGGACATTTGCTGAACTGGGGAGCATGGGAGAAATAAGAAGAAGGCTGTTAATCGTGAATGGGACCAGCAATGGATCAGAGAAGCTGAAGACACAAAATAGAGCAGGTTCAATGGCATACTTTAAATTCCAGTTTTACAGACAATGGTATCAAACTGCTTTATCATATCTTTTGTGGAAAACTACATTAGATGTGTTTTTCCTCTTTCCAGTGTTAATAATAATATATTCATTTTGCAGCCTTTTTCAATAAGTCACTCAAGATGCATTTAGTATTCCCTTTCTCTCTCTCTCTCTCTCTCTCTATCTATATATATATATATATATATATTCTGTTGTTAGTACTGAAATTCATATACATCTTGCAATTGATGGCGTCTTTGAATTGATGAAAAAAGGTAATTGTGAGAAAGCAAGGGTTTGATTATTTGGCTCCCAAACCTTATCTATCACTGCAGTTGTCCCTCCAAGTTTGTGGTTTTGACTTTTAAGGATTTGATTATTTACAGATTTGATTAAAATCTTTCTAGGAATCTCTAGGTCCTCCAGTTTGATTTGCGACCAACTTTCTCTGATCATGCTGGAGGATCTAGACACACACACTATGATTCTAATATGTACTTGGGTTTTAGATATGCTTATATAGGAGTCCCTGGTGGTGCAGCAGGTTAAACCACTGAGCTGCTGAGCTGAACTTGCTGACTGAAGGGTTGGCGGCTTGAATCTGGGGAGCAGGGTGAGCTCCCACTGTTAGCCTCAGCTTCTGCCAACCTAGCAGTTCAAAAACATGCAAAAGTGAATAGATCAATAGGTCCCGCTTCTGCTTGGACATGCAGTCATGCTAGCCACATGACCTAGGAGGTGTCTATGGACAACACCGCCTCTTTGGTTTAGAAATAGAGATGAGCACCACCAGAGTTGGACATGACTAGACTTAATGTCAAGGGGTAACCTTTACCTTTTATATGGGAGGAGTGCATCTTAGAGTTGAGAAAATACAGTAAGAATACATGGGCTGTTGTTTCCTCCCATTCCATCGTTTGCAGAGTGCCCACATAAAAGAGGGTTTTCAAAAACTAATTGTGCAATTGCAGAATTTAAAAGATTTGAACTTGCATAGTTACAGCAATATTTTTACAAAAAGGAGTATATAATTATTTACCAGTACTTTTTGCGTCTGAAGAGTAGTGGCAACAGAAGAAGTATCGAGAGGCATTACTACACTGCCCACAAGAACACTCACACTTAAATGTCACAAGAAGAACTGAAAACAAGCAAATACGTCATTTCCCACCACGTGGAAAAATACCCATTTCAAAATGTTTCTAAGCACAGAGAGCTGAGTGTAGTTGATTCCAGTCCGTCTTTTGTATCCACCTGTTTCTACACACTGAGGATGAAATCAAACAATTTATCCGTGGTCTATCCATGGTCTTGATTTTAACAATAGTGAAATCCAGACCACGGATAGCGAAATCCAAAGTGCAGATACCAAGATCTGTTAAGCAGATAACAGCTACTGGCAGTGGGCTGCCTGTGCATCAGTGCCAGGTGAGATTAAGAAGTTACAACCCAATGTTCCCCAATCAAAAAGTCTCACCAGTTGAAGAAGAAGCCACCAAGGTAATTTTATTCAATCCAATTGGAAAGGATGACAGCTTGCGATAAGCCGCAAAATGGGCAACCTATGGAACAGGTTGTGACGGCGCAAGTGGCGCCACCTGTGTGTAGAACTTTAAAGTGCAAAGTTTTAAACTATAATATGCCCAAACTTGCCTAGTTTGTAAATGTATAGTTGGATTGATTGGTTATTTATAGCTGTCAATCAATGTTGTTTGCACCAGTTATATTGCTTCCTCAGCTCAATTGCTTGGCTCCACCTCTTCCTGGAGGAGGGCAGAGCTTTTCCTTTTCCATTCTACCATCAAACTTTCTATCAGATAGACGTGAGATAGAGACTTGGCTCTAAAGCCCTTAATTAAGTTACCTCTCATCACCAATTCTAAGGTTTTTACCTTTGGGACTCATACTTCATGCCCAGATCGCCTTGGACAACGTTGAGGAGACCCAAGCACCTTCAAACCAGTCCTGTGGCACCAGAGGAAGGCTTCACGTCTTCAAATATAGGCCATTTGGATTGGGGCTGTGAATGTTCAGGCATTTGCAGCCATTGAGAAAGAGGGAACCTTGAAAAGCTTCTCAGCTGCGAAATCTCCTTGGACCCAAGACCACCAGAAATTAATGTATATTTCCTTTACCCCTTTGAAACTTCCAGCTTATTGCCCTAAAGGGATAACTCTTTGTGGACAATAAAACCTATTTTGAGTTATCTGCAGTGTTTTGGTCCTTGGGAGTTCCAGTTCTTTAAAGGAAGGCAAGAAGCAATCCCCTGGGGGAAAGATGTCAAGTCTATGTCTCTTTCACTAAGAGTTATAGCCCCCAGGCGCGACGGCAAACAGGTTGTGCATTGTTTGACAGGATCCATGGGCTTTCACCTTTGAAGCGTGTAGAAACGGAAGGCTCCTTCTGTGTGATGAAGTCCTAAGTGTCACAAAATCCCACAGGAGCTTCTCTGAATAAGCAATAAACAATAAATGTTGTGAAAGGGACTCACTTCCTCAAGCTGAATAAATTGTTTTTTCTTTCTCACAGAAGTATTGAAGGATTGCTGGTCACAAATAAAATAAAAGTCTCCTTAAATTTCCTCCCATGTCATATTGTATCTTGTAGGATATCGGCTATCTGAACTTACTCATTGCTAGAGTAAACATTGAGAGTACACATGACTGTGCCTGTCCTTCACCTAAATCCCCATGCCCAATGATTTACTATCATTTTATCTGAACTCCCTGCCCACCTTCAGGCTCAGGGCATAGTTTAAGGAGAAGCAACTGACCCATTCAATAATTTGCTTTCAGGGGCTACTTTGAGTCACATGGGGCTGGTAATTTGAGTTGCTTTGCAGTTCAACGGGCAAAGAGCAAAGGAAGAAAAAACTCAGCGGAAGCTACAGTAACACCAGTGAGACATGGCAAAGTGGCAGGAAATGTCCAAGGAGGTAACAGCATTTGTTAAGGGAAATATTTATTTGGCTTGCAAGGGTTTTTTAAAGAGTTGTTTGTATTTGTGAGTAGTGTAGCTTGTGGGTGTAGCCACCAATGGGACAGCAGTCTGGGATAGCAGTCCTCTTTGAGGGACAAAACAGCATGGTTTGTTCTAGAAGAAAAGCTAGCAAAGTCTGTTCCTGGGGGGGGGGGGGGGGGGGGGGCTCCAGGCAATGTACTGTCTCTTTAACAAAATAAAGGCAATTCTTTTACAGCAATGTCCTTCTCTGCCAGATTTATGAGAACAGCAATGAACAGATATGAAAGTTATAAATACTCACACAGGAAAGTAGGCAGGAGACTGTTCTGCCAGAAAGCATAAATGACCGATCAATGTACAAATGCAGCAAATGCTAAATTAATTTTTTAAAGTCTTCCAATAAAATCTTTGAAAATAATATATCTATTATATCTAAACTCAGTTAAAAGAATGTGAAATTACAAGCCAAGAAGTTCCTATTGACCTAAAAAATATAACATTTTGTGACAACTGTGATGTATTAAATCATAAAGAATTGATTATATTTATGCTGGGGAAAACTGGACAGCATCTCAGTTGAGATCTGACAGAAAAAGTTGAGAAATAGCACTTATGAAAATAGGTGACATCTGTTAGGGAAAACTACCAAAAAATTAAAACACAGCATTCAAAAACAGGATACAAAAGCTGGGCATCAGCTCATTAGCGAGCAGAGTGTGAAGTGCCATGTGATGTGGCTGTAAAGAATTTAGAGCTCAGGCATGCAAAGATGCAGAGACCAATCTTAGAAATCAGAAAAGGTTTATTTACAATAATAAGAAATAACTGCATTTCTTAATAATCAAGAACTGGGTGTGAGCTACTCTAACACCCATCTCTCCTAAGGTTTCAAAGAGAGGGGAAAAACACCAATCACTACATCTCTCTGATACACGTGCAGAGAGAGATCTCAAAGCACACAGCACATACTCCTATGTAAGAAACAAAAGTCAGATTTTAAAAGGCTTGCAGTAGAAGAGTATCCATTCTACACAACCAATCAGAATGAAAGCAGAAACAGAGAGGAGAGAAGAAATAGATACACTCCCAATTGTCATACAGGAGAAATGGAGAGAGGGAAACCTTTTGTCTTTATTAAACTAACTAACTGCTCCTCGTTGAGGACTTGAGACTTGGGCAGTGTGGGGTTGAATTCCAATAACATCTACTATGCAAAATAATAAAAATGAGCAGTCAGGCTTAAGCTTCTTTTCAACATAGATTTCTTTTGTTAATATCAACATAGTATCCACCTTCTCCACAGTCACATTTGTACCAATGGAAAATTGCTTGAGTTATTTTCTCATGCTGTGAATCCATATAAATCGTGACGATCTTTCTTTTAGGGGAAATAATATGCCTGTTGAGTGTCTTGTTTGTTTGACTAAAACGGTTACATTATGCCATTATGTCATGTTAAGTTTTTTTTAAGAAAAAGAAATAGGTTTGTTTATAATTCTCCCCTCCTGCAAGTAATATACAGGCACTCTTCAACATTTCTCTGCCTTCTGTTTTTTGAACGTGCAGCTAACTATGTTGTGGTTAGTCCCATAAATATCTGAGGTATTTCTCAGTTCTTTATTTATTCTGAACAGCAACAACAATGGTATCAATGCAGCTCTGCTTGCTAGCTCTCCTTTCTCTCCTTGCAGGAGCTGGAAACTCAATATTCCCCTAGTAGGTGGTCTCCACGGATGACTGAGGATGCTATTATTGAGGCTCACGAACAGGTCATAAGTGAAGGTAAGGAGGCCAGGGTAATCTAAAACTCAGCAAAAAGAAGAACAAGAAAGGGCAGAAAGTGGAACAGCAGAGGAATAGTAAAACAGCTTCTAAGAGACCACCAGTATCTACTGGTAATTGGTCTTGTTGCAAAGATACTGGAGTTGGTAGGGCTGGATCTGATATAGGAAGGAAGAATTTAAGATTTTAAGTAAAATCATATATCCTAAGTTATGTGCTGTGGATTAGATATATGTTAACAATTAAGAGTTAATTAAAATTTGAGAGCTGGGGGTAGTGATGGCTGACAGGGAGCTCTGGCGTGGGCTTGTCCATGAGGTCACGAAGAGTCGGAAATGACTGAACAAATTAACAACAACAACAATTAAGAGATCTTCAGGATGCCATATCGCACTGTACATTTGTTATTTATTATTTATTTACTTAATGTATATACTGCTTTCCCCCAAGGGAACTCAAAGCAAAAAATTCAATGCCTTACAACATATAAAAAACCTAGTATAAAAACAACTATAATATATAACTATAAATTAAACCAAACCTATTAAATAGAGAAACAACAACATCTTGATATTTAAACATAGAATTAATAATATTAATATCAAACATTAAAATCACATTATCCATGTTGGACCATGGCTAATGAAGAACCCATGTGGAACAGAAGTAAACTCATAACTGGTTTAGGACAGAAAAACATCTCATAAGAAGGAATATTAGAAGAAAAATCTTCTACATTACAGAATAGCAAGGTCAAAGCCTATTTTGATTTCCCAGTCAGTAAGCAGGATGACATGCACCGCTGAGTGTATGAAGGAGATGATGTCCAGAAGGGAAAATGGGAGGGCAACTCAGATGTGGGCAAGTTGGCTCCATCTTACTGTGATTGCATTTTGTTGTTATAACGTTTTAATTGAATATGTTATATGATGTTTTTAATGATTGTTTTGTGATTTTATTGTTGGAAACCGGCCTGAGTCCTCCGATAGAGGGGAGAAGACCGGTATACAAAATTGCTAAATAAATAAATACATAATTACTGTATCTTTTCCTCTGCAGGTACCCAGGCTGCCCAGGCTGCCGTCCAGACTCTACTGAATGTTCCCTATGGGTTGGATGAAGGAGAGAAACTTGATGTATATCTTCCTAAAGTGCACTCTGAAAGTAAGAATACAGTGTAGATGCAGATAAATGATGGAGACAGAAAACTGGAGTGTAGTAATCTGTGAAAGAGCAATATGGGGAGGCATGCAGGAAGTTGAGAAGCTTCTAAGGGACTGTGTTACCCTTTTACCCATTGAGTCCTTTTTTTCAGCCTTTCCCCTGGTCCTCTATTTTCATGGTGGCTACTGGCAAGCCCTCAGGTGAGTTGTGTTGAAGATTGGTCATGGTCATTTGGCCTCTTTCCTCATTACTTAAATGCAATAGGTGAAGGCTGCTGAGGTAGAGCTAATGATTGTGGGCTCTTTTCTGTTAGCGTGTCACCATGTTCCTCTTTTCCTTCTGTCTTTCTGCTTCTAGTAAGAATGTTTCAGGCTTTGCTGCATTGCCCCTGGTGACACATGGCATTGCCTTGGCTGTAGTTGATTACACTATCGCCCCCAAAGGTATAGGTAGCTATGGGCTCGGCAATTTTTCCTCCATGCTTATTATTCTTAATAGCCCACGTCTATGTTAAATTGAATATTGTGGATGGTTTTTGTTTTCTTTTGTCTAGGCCAGATGGATATGATGGTCAGGCAGGTGAGACAAAGTGTGGCCTTTGCAGTTCAGCAGTACACAGGGATCAGGTAGGAGATGTATGGCTGCTGTGAGATGATGCAGGGTGAATCCATTGTTGCAGCCATGGGGAGGAGAGTCCTGAGTCCCCTCACATAATGCTCAAATCCAACACATGGCTTTGGGAACATTGCATTCTGACTCCTCCGGCAACCCTCTTTCACCCCGTTCAGAGCCTCAGGCTTACTCACTGCAACCACATCTCATTTCCCTTTAGTGGGGTTTATCTACTTGGACACTCAGCGGGGGCCCACCTGGCAGCCATGGTGCTCTCGACAGATTGGACTGAATATGGTGTTGTGCCAAACATAAAAGGTATGTTCTGGGAAACATCCAATCCAAGCCTCAAATTTTGCATTCTTATTATTTTTTGTCTCCCTTTCCTGAACCACACAACAAATTAGAATGTCAAACTCTAGTTTGAATCTCCTTGTCTCTTAAGTTTGGTAGATTTGTGTCTTTTCTTCCCAGGAGTCTTTTTGGTGAGTGGCATCTATGACCTGGAACCCATCATACACACCTACGTCAATGATGTATTGCACATGATTCGGTGAGAATGATTTCTTAGAAATGGAGCATCCGATTCATGAGGGGCACTAAATTGGGACTGTTACATTTGTGGAAACCTGCACAATGTGTGCTACCATCTACCAACTCATGTTGCTTTTCAACTATCTACATTGGCAAAACTTTTCCAGCTTTTCATCTTTGCACCATCTCACTCTGAATTATCTGTGTCTCCTCAGGGAAGTAGCTCTGAAGAATAGCCCTCTACAATGTGTGCCTATGTTGGGAGACAAAAAAACTTGTCAACTACTCATCGTCATAGCTCAACATGACTCACCTGAATTCCGAAGGCAGTCCTTGGAGTATTTTGAGGTTTGTTGTGCACTGGATATGTCAGCTGGATATTTAGGGAATCTGTGTCCAAGAGACAGTTGAGAGCAATTTCTAAATTTAATGTTCCATTTTAATTAAATGTCAGATAATCCTTTTCCTAACTAAGATGTTCCTGAATCATTCAGTCAAGTACTAAATTAAGTATGCAGACATTAAGATGGCCATAATTAAATAGGCTGTTGTTAGTCTACAGTTTATAAATGTATTGTATCATAAAGTTAGAAGGGGCTCCATGGGCCATCAGGTCCCGTCCCCTGCTAAGTTCATCTTGCCTTTCTAAAGCATTCCCAGCAGGTAGCTGTTCAACCTGTTTTCTTAGACATCTAGGGGAGATCCTCAGCTCCTCCCTGTGCATTTGGTTTCCTTGCTTCTAATGTTTAAGAAAAAAAAACCTTCCTATAACTTAAAACCAATAGACTGCTCCTATCTTTTGAGGCTGTAGTCTGCACTCTCCCCTTTGTTTCAGCCCTGGAGAAATTTAAAGATATTTAATCAAGTTAACACTCAGGCCCCTGCCATACAGCTGAATAAAATCCCACATGATCAGTTTCGAAATGGGATATATGGCAGTGTGGACTTGGATTACATGGCTGTGTGTAAGGGCCATCTGTCTTCTCTTCATCAGTACTCCTTTAGTCTCATCATATGTTTTGATGTAAAGAGCAGCAGTTTTTGTCGTTGTTCCCGTCTCCAGGTACCAGGCAGTGGTACCATATTTGTCCCATTGGCTACAATTGTTTCTTACCTGGAACGGATTGACAGTAAATGGACCAGGGTCTGACATTTGTTAATGGGCCAGCACTTTGAGCAGCATTATTCCAGTGACGAGACTATGTAAACAGATATGAGTGGCTTGTGCCTTATCCATTTATATTTCTGCATATACCTAGTATGTGACATTCATACACAGAGAGAAAAATGCATGTTGATTTATGTTTATATATCCAAGTGTTCTGAATATAAGTGTGTGTAAGGAAGGTGAGTAATGTATCTAGAATAATGATTTGCTAATATCTCTCACACCTTCATGTTACATTGTTCAGTTGTGAATCAATTAGTCCGTCATTATTTTTCTTCCACATCTTACTCTAGCTGCTGGAATATTGTATCTATTAGGTTAGATCTCCACATCTCTGGGCTCAAACCTTCAGAGATTAACTATAGTGCAATAATAGTTACAAAATTATGTGCAATGATTTTTGTAACGGCCCTGGATTGTGACTGTGGATGACATGATTTTTAATGATTGCAATGTTTTCTGTGTTTTAATCTTTAAATCTTTAACTTAATGTATTTTAATTATTTGTTGTTCAAGGCATTGAATGGTTGCCATATGTAAAGCCACCATGAGTCTCCTTCGGGGTAGACAAAGGCGGGATACAAATAGAGTAAATAAAGAAATAAATAAGTGATTTGCAGTGGGTTAGACATGATTTCCGCCTTTCAACGGTCAGACTGGGTTGCTGAAAATAAGCTAACATGGGGGCAAGGAACTAGAAGTGGCTTTCTATGAAATAAATATTGAGGTTGGTTCTGAATACTGTTCACAATTCTTGGGTTGTAAACATGTTCAGAAGCATTCAGGTCTGCGTCGAAGCATAAGTCCCCCTGCCTAATTCATTCCTTTTGGTGGATCATAACCTTGTATGAAAAATGTAGACCAGTGGTTCTCAACCTATGGGTCCCCAGGTGTTTTGACCTACAACTCTCAGAAATCCCAGACAGTTTACCAGCTGTTAGGATTTCTGGGAGTTGAAGGCCAAAACATCTGGGGACCCACAGGTTGAGAACCACTGATGCAGATGTTACAAGTCTTGAAGCCTCCTGGCTGTATCTTAGGTTGAAGGAACCACCTGCTACTTTGTGAACACAGTTAACATACCTTTGGCTTCCCATATAGGCTCTCCGAGCAGCTGGCTGGAATTCCTTTCTGTTGGACATCGGAGAAAAAGATCATTTCGATGTAGTGGAGAAGCTTTCCCAGGAGGATTACCTTCTTACACAGGTAGATGAACAAATGAATTCATGAGCTAGAGGGAAATTAGGAGGCATTTAGCTAGAAGCTGCCTTGAGTCTTTTGAATCCTTGTCTCCAGGAGTCCTAGTCCAAGACTCAAAGCAATATGCCACACTATCACTCACAAATAATTTAAATGTGCACCTGTTCTTTGTTCCAGGTGATCTTGAGCATGATTTCCAGAAGCTAACAAGATGGAAAGGGATGGAAAGTCTTCACCCATGTGTATGCCTTCCACTGATCATGCCATCTTTCTATTGTGCTCTTTATATGTTAAAGTGTGAATGAGCTTCCTTGCCACTCTCCTTTTCCAAATGCCTTTTGATTCTACACAGCAATCTACTTGGACAAGGCAGTTGTGGTGAAATGGGACTCTGAAGCCCATTATACTGATATGTGTTTAGAGGGAATTATTTGTGAAGAGAATACAACTCAATTCCTGACACAAAGACAGTTTCCATCTGTTCCTGCAATAAGCTCCTTTTCTCAGAATGCATTGAGAACATTAAATAAAACTAGGACATAAATTGCAACTGCATTGTGATTGTAAATCACCTTGTACCAGGAAATGGTCTGGAAATGAATCTGTGAGCACAGGCAAGCTATAATTGGTGCATAAATCACCACTTTTTTCTAATCCACTTAGTGTAGAGCAGGCTGAAGGTTGATTTCTTTCACTTGGAGCATCAGGTGACCATTTAATGTTTTGGGTACATTTAGGACTCTACATCAGACCATCGGTCTACCTAGGCCAGTGGTGTCCACTCTGACTGGCAGCAGCTCTTGGTAGTACATATAATAATAATAGTTATTATTATTTATTTGCATCCCGCTTTTCTCTCACAAAGATACCCAAAGCGGCTTACAACATATTAAAAGCAATACAAGTCCAAAAAATCAGCATATATAACACATAAAACCATCTATAAAAGAAAACATAAATAAGCATATAAAACCAAATACATTATTGTAGAAATGCTATGAACTCTTAAGCAGAGTGTGATTACAGCAGGATAAAATTTGGCCAAGTGAAGAGAAAACTATCTTTTCAACTGTCGTTGGGATTCTAGTTTACATGGGTTCCAACCAGCAAATGCTGGTGGAAGATGTAATCAAAGAGAGTTGAATGGCTACTGATGCCCTTTGTTAGATATACATGGCCTCAAGGTTAATGCATCTTTATTTGGAAGAAGAGGGTTCTAAAAGAAAAGTGGGTATTTGGAGACTGATGCTGCAATAACAATGCTGGAATAGCATTCTGCCCTTTCCTAGGAGGAGGGCAAGGCTTGAACTCATCTCTAATGGTTCTTCAGAGTTTGCACATGTTGTCCAACTCAATTAAACAGTCTAGTTTAGATAGGGCAAAATCCCATCTAACTATGTCAATCGCTGGTGTGTTCAGGGTCGGAAATGTCTGGGAGGACTCCAAAATGACATCTGTGATGCTGTGTTTTCAAGTGGAGGTCTAATCTGTCCAACACAGGGTGAACTTACATTCCAGGCAATCTGTCAGGGTCAGGGACAACACTCCCCTTGGGCACAGTGAGATGTAGATCAAATGCAGTAGATGCAGACTGAATGGATATGGTTGTGTGTACCATAGAACTTGCAGCAGGCATGTAGCCGGGGGGGGGGGGGGGCTTGAGGGGCTTCAGCCCCCCCCCCAATTCTCATGGTGGTCCGTGAGAAGGCCTTACTGGTACATTATTTAAACTGTTATGTTTATTCATATCATGATCTGATCACCATGCTCAATATATCCCATATTCATGGGGATATTGGGGTAACGATACAAAAGGTTTGCTAGGGTAGACCCTCTTTCACTCAGACTCAGCCCCCCACCCCCCCCCCCCGAATCAAAATCCTGGCTACGGGCCTGACTTGCAGTATATTTTTATTGAATAATGAAGGATGTTTTCCTGTTGGCACTACTAAAGCAAGAGCTGCCAGTCTGCTCCATCAGACTGCCCTTGCTGTGTCAGTCGTAGGCTTTGTTCTATGTCCCATACTCCAAAGTGTTTTAGAATAGACCTGCTAGCTGTTCTAAAAGATCACCTGTCCCCTCTGGATTAAATTTCAATTTGATAGTGCTCATCCAATCCATTACTAACTCCACACAAGTTCAGAGCACCTGCGGCTTGACATCTGCCTTCCTGCTAGGTAATTATGTGCCAGAACAAGACGTCCCTCCCACCTAGTTCTACCATGTCTCTTAAGGCAAGAGAAAGGTGGAAAATGTGGCAGCTGATCTTTTCACTTCTCGGGTTTGCCATCCTTTGGTTTGTGTTTACATTCAGGAGTGTATAATTAACATTGTGGAGCTGCAGCTTTTACCATCATGCCATCGCCCTATGCTAGATTCATTGAATTTTAGGCTGTGACATTTAAAAGTTTCCTTTAAGTTAAAAAAGTGTCACCTCTATTCTGTAGAAATACTTATTTAAGACATTTCTATACCTGGATCTACACTGCCATATAATGCAGTTTGAACTGCATTATATGGCAGTGCAGATTCATCCTATTCAGGACATATCCTGTTTACAATCCAGGTACATCTCAGCAAAGTCTCTATCAATGAAATTAGCTTTTACAAAGGCTTCTTGCCCACCTACTTCCTTTTCTTCCTCATCCTCTGTCTAGCTGGAAGTTTTTAGCAGCATTATCAATAAAGGAAGGAGATCTGAGAAACACAGACTGACAGGGTTGGGTTGCAGTGGTGTGCCTACAATAATAATGCTTGAGCAGGTGTAATTACTACAAAAGGAGTCCTTGTGGTCATGTCATGGTTGGGGGGCAAACAGGGATATGTGTTTGTAGTGTACATGTCCTTTTTCAGACAAGTCATTGGAGGGACAAATGGTTATATATGTTGGTAGTGAATGTGAGGGGGGCATATGGCAGGAACCCTAAATATATAATCAGGAAACGATAAAATGTTAATTGCCCCTTTCACTGCCTTATGAGATGAGGGTAAAACAGAAATTTAGCTACCCATCATGAAGCGGGGAAGGATTCCTTGCCCAGAGTATCTTAGGACTTTGACAGCCAGATGGAGACACACAGACTGGGTTTGAAGGCAACAAACAGAGATTTACATTCAGACCTGTGAAACAGAGTCTCTACCCAGAAAGAATCAGACATAACTATCCAGTTCAAGACAAGACATTTTATCCTGGTTCAACAGGTGCTCTGCTATGGCTGACTTCTCTGGTTGAGTTAGTCTGCAGTGCCTTTCATGTTCCTTGATTCGGGTTTGGGCAATGCTGTGTTTGGTGATGCCTATGTAGACTTGTCCACAGCTGCATGGTATACAGTAGACTCCTGCAGAGGTGAGAGGATCCCTTTGTTAAACATAGCATTTGTCTACATAGGGATCACCAAACGCAGCATTGCCAAACACGAATCAAGGAACATGAAAGGCACTGCAGACTACTTCAACCAGAGATGTCAGCAATAGCAGAGCACCTGATGAACCAACCTGGACACAGCATTTTATTTGAGAACACAGAAATGGTGGACCACTCTAACATGTCAGACTACATAGAGAAGCCATTGAAATCCACAAGCATGTGGACAATTTCAACAGAAATATAATAATAATAATAATAATAATTATTATTATTATTATTATTATTTTATACCCCGCCTCCATCTCCCCTAAGGGACTCAGGGCAGCTTACAAAGGGCCAAGCCCAGGGAGCACAATGTTAAAAACATAACACAAATAAGATAGCATCAAAACAAAACCAAATAAAACATATCACAATAAAACATAACATCATAAAAACAGTACCATACAGAACGATAAAAGTGCTGAGTACAGAGGGCTTTGGGTTTGTGCAAATTCCTACATATAGCTAAGGGAAAGTGCAAAATTCAGAAGGCAGGGCTGGGCGGATAATGTTCATGGGCAATGAAATGTCAGAAAGGAGGAAACCATGAAAATGAACAAAATCTGGCTACCAGTATTAAAAAAAATCTAAAATCAAGGCAGTAAATAAAAAAACACCCAGAAAATAGGAATTCCTGACAATAAAGAATCAAGGCCAGCTAACACCTCCCAACAAAGGATTCCCACTAGCAGGAAGCAACTAGGCTTTGAAGCTGCAAGGCTATTCAATGCTAATCAAGGTGATCAATTGCAAAATTCACACTTGCCTGAGACAGACAAGAGTTCTTTCTTCCACTTCACAACCTCTGAGGATGCCTGCCATAGATGTGCACGAAATGTCAGGAGAGAATGCTTCTGGAACATGGCCATACAGCCCGGAAAAATTACAGTAACCCAGGTCATAGAATCATAGAGTTGGAAGAGACCTCATGGGCCATCCAGTCCAACCCCCTGCCAAGAAGCAGGAAAATTGCATTCAAAGTACTCGTTGTGTGCCTTGAAGTTGTTTCCACTTATCCATAAACCTATAATTATGTTTTTTGGGGCTGGGGAAAGATTTCTTGGCTTGAATCCTTGAATATCTTTTGGAGGAAACCCTGAAGTGCTTTCAAATGTTTCAGTAATTTATTATTTACTAGCAGTCCCCTGCCACGCGTTGCTGTGGCCCAGTCTGGTGATCTGGAAAATAAAGTAATGAGAAAGTGTTGGTTTCTAATATATGTAATGTCGTTCTGCTTGTGGGTAAACAGTATTTCTTGCTGTTTCTTTGCCAGTGTTGATGTGGAGATTGTCTGGTTTGCCAACTCTTGAACATGCAACATATCATTGTCCTTCGTTAGGGGTCCCTTTCAAATCTATGATACTGCATCTGTCATATACATATATATGTGTGTATGTGTGTGTGCGTGTGAATGGCTGGATGGACCTTTGTCAGGAGGGCTTTGATTATGTTTTCTTGCCCTGGTGAAGGGAATTGGATTGGATGGCCTTAAGGCAGCATTTCTCAACCTGGGAAATCAAGACCCTGGAGGGGGGTCACCGGGGGGTGTGTGTGTCATAAATGTTGCCAAAGACCACCAGAAAACACAGTATTTTCTGTTGGTCATGAGGATTCTGTGTGGGAAGTTTGCCCCAGTTCTGTCATTGGTGGGGTTCAGAATGCTCCTTGATTCAGGGGAACTATAAATCCCAGTAACTACAACTCCCAAATGTCAAGGTCTATTTTCCCCAAACTCTATCTGTGTTTATATTTGGGCATATTCAGTATTCGTGCCAAGTTTGGTCCAGATCCATCATTGTTTTGAGTCCACAGTGCTCTCTAGATGTAGGTGAACTACAATTACAAAACTCAAGGTCAATGCCCACCAAACCCTTCAAGTGTTTTCTGTTGGTCTGGGGAGTTCTGTGTGCCAAGTTTGGTTCAATTCCATCGTTGGTGAAGTTCAGAATGCTCTTTGATTATAGATGAACTACAAATCCCAGCAACTAAAACCCCCAAATGACAAAATCATAATTTTTTGAGTGATGGTCACTCCTTGTGTTGTGAGACTTTTGTTGCCAAATATGGTGTGATTTCGTTCATTGGTTCTTTTGTTTTTAAGGTACTCGTTATGCACAGAGCATTTTTATATATATAGATTTATTTACTTACTACATTTATATGCTGCCCTTCTCACCCTTCGGTGAGAAGGGCATACAAACACACACAATATATTATATTATTAGCATAGTACAATATCAGTATTATATATTACTATATTGTACTACACCATTATATTGTAGTATTGTTAGTACTATTACATGTAATATAAAATATATAATTATAATATTATAATATATTATTATAATTATAATATATTATTAGAAGTATTATATTGTATTACATTATAATATAGAGGGGAAGTCATGCTACCCCTCTATTCTGCCTTGGTTAGACCACACCTGGAATATTGTGTCCAATTCTGGGCACCACAATTGAAGAGAGATATTGACAAGCTGGAATGTGTCCAGAGGAGGGCGACTCAAATGATCATGGGTCTGGAGAACAAGCCCTATGAGGAGTGGGTTAAAGAGCTGGACATATTTAGCTTGAAGAAGAGAAGGCTGAGAGGAGACATGATTGCCATGTACAAATATATGAGAGGAAGCCACAGGGAGGAGGGACCAAGCTTGCTTTCTGCTGCCCTGGAGACTAGGGTGAGGAACAATGGCTTCAAACTACAAGAAAGGAGATTCCATTTGAACATGAGGAAGAACTTCCTTACCATGAATCCATATGAGGAGCTTCTTAAGAGCCTGCAGAGGAGAAGGTTGAGAGGAGACATGATATCCATGTATAAATATGTGAAAGGGTGTCATAAGGAAGACAGTTCAGACTTGTTTTCTGTGGCTTTGGAAACTAGATCTAGGAGCAATGGGTTCAAATCACAAGAAAGGAGATTCCACCTGAACATTAGGAAGAACTTCCTGACTGTGAGAGTCGTTCAGCAGTGGAACTCTCTGCCCCGGAGTGTGGTGGAGGCTCCTTCTTTGGAAGCTTTTAAACAGAGGCTGGATGGCCATCTGTCAGGGGTGCTTTGAATGCAATATTCCTGCTTCTTGGCAGGAGGTTGGACTGGATGGGCCATGAGGTCTCTTCCAACTCTATATTCTATATTATAATATTATATGTATATACAATATATTACATTATATTATGTTGTATTATTAGCATAGCACAAGGTAAATATGTCAAGGCTTCAAATTTTTGTGTTCAGCTGACCCGCTTGTTTCCTTTCACAGGGCTTATAGAAACATGCTTGTGGGGAAAGAAAGCAAAAGAGGGTTTCAACCCAGTGAGTGCCTTCTCTTCCGGCAACACTTTCAAATTGGGCGCGAGCTCCCGCCTCTCCAACATAGTCCCGCGCAGTCTCTCCAGCCAATCAGCGCGCACTGCTCCCGGCATACTTAGCGCGCCTGGCCTATAAATAGAGACGCTGCAGTTTCCCCGCCATCGTTTGAAATCGGTGGGAGCATTCAAAATGGTGAAGCTGAAGGTCCCTCCAGGGCTGGAAATCTACCTGAAGGAACACCGCGTCGCCACCTTCGTCGACTGGCCCTTTGTTTCGGACTGCGCCTGCACTCCGATGCGGGTGAGAGGACGGCTTGGCCTTGCTTCTAGGCCCTCCTGAGACAAAGCTCATCCTGCTGGAAGCTCGGGTTTTCCTGCCTCCATGCTTTCCTGCGGTTGTCACAGGCATCGGGCAAACTTCGGCCTTCCAGGTGTTTTGGACTCCAACTCCCACAATTCCTAACAGCCGGTAGGCTGTTAGGAATTGTGGGAGTTGGAGTCCAAAACACCTGGAAGGCCGAAGTTTGCCCATACCTGGATTAAATGTAGAATTAAAATATAGAACCATGGGAGTTGTAGTTTTCCAAGGCCATTGGCTTCCCCTGCTGCCTCAACAAACTACAAATCCCAGAATCCCATAGCACTGAGCCATGGCGGATCTACACAGCCATATAATCCAGTTCAATCGGATAATCTAGATTCAGAAACTGGGTTATATGACAATGTAGACCGGGCCAAATTGTGTAAATTCTCTTCTGTAGATGCATCCTAAGGAGGGGAGGGGAAAATTGTAGTTTAAAGTAGCTGGAGGGCTTTGGGCCATTTGCTTTAATAAGAAAGCATAGTAATAAATGAATGGTGTGAAATGCCTTCCTCTTAGGACAGTGTTTCTCAACCTTCTTAATGCCGCGACTCCTCAATACAGTTCCTCATGTTGTGGTGACCCCCAACCATAAAATTATTTTTGTTGCTATTTCATAGCTGTCATTTTACTACTGTCGTGAATTGTCACGAAGACAGAGGGGAGCAGAAGACATTTCCATCTTGTCTTTACTAATAATATAATATAGTATATTGTATATACATCTAATATTTATAATATTATAATGTAATGTAATACAAGGATAATACTAGTAATAATAATACAATATTATAATTATATATTTACATTACATGTAATATTACTAATAATATTACAGTATCATGGTATAGTGCAATATTGTAATTTCTGATACTGTACTTTGCTAATAATATAATATATTGTATGAAAATATATATTGTAAGCCGCTCTGAGTCCCCTTCGGTGTGGGAAGGGCGGCATATAAATACCGTAAATAAATAAATAAATAACTACAAAAGCATGTCCAGTGTTTCAAATCTTTAGTCATGCAGTCAGTTGGTATACGTACAATACTCATTAATAAAATGGTTTCCGTAAGGCAGAGAATTGCAGCATTAATGAATTTTCACTGTGCATGATTATATATGACAATGCATGTATTTTGGCTATCGTATTTCAAATGTAGTGGTGTGAAACATTTCCTCGACATTTTACTAGTATTTGAAAAATGTATACAGAAAGGGTTTTGCGAAGTGTGTTTTTGCAAAGAACATGGCACTTAAGCTAAAATTAAGTTCACAAGTCTTTCTTACAAGAGCTTGAAACTAGGATGCCAAAGTAGTTTAAATCAGCAGGATAAACCACTGACCAGAACATAAAATTTAAACACAGCTTGACTTTTATCTATTTTATTAAGTTTAAACATCAGACCTGAGGAAACTATGTTTCACAAACCCATTCTCACAATAATAACAACAGAATAAGCAAGTGAAATGTCCATGACTGACTTTCAGCAGGAATGTTTGATAGTTACTATGTAGCTATAGCATTTTATAAGGGAGAGTGAAGCAGAAAGTAGCAACACTGGGAAGGGACATTGTCCATGTTCCTGTAATTATGCCTGATTTTGGGCCATGCTAGCTGGGGCAGATGGGAGTTGAAGTTCATTAGCATCTGAAGAATTGACCAAATCCACCTCTGTGCTTACCCTTAATGTCAGAGTGTGGCACACAGATGCTAAATTTAAAGTACTGTCAGTTGAATTTAGTGGTAAAAATGAAATATAAGGCAAACATAGCATTTTATTTTCATCAAGTGGAAATGTAAATGGAGTTTTGTGTGGTTTCTGGGCTGTATGGCAGCATTTTTTCCTAACGGTTTGCCTTCAGGATTCTCTGAAGATGCCAGCCACAGATACCGGCAAAACATCAGGAAACAATGCTACTAGAACATGGCCATACAGCCTGGAAACCACACAACTCTGAAGTGATTGATGGGCAGAGTGCAAATATTTATATCTATAAAAAAAAAATCAAATATGGGCATATTTGGTTGTTCATTTATATAGAAAAGCTTCCTACAAGTCAGTGCTTTCTTTTAGAAATGATGGTTCACTTTAGAGATTAACTACAAAGCCAACATGCATATATTCATATTATTTAAAATTAATGTTATGTAATAATACTTCAAAGCAACTTATTTTTACAATTCAACGTTTAAGATGCCTGGAATTTTAAATCTAACTTTAATTTCCAAAAAGTCATTGAAAAGCATAGGTAAAGGTAAAGGTTTCCCCCTAACATTGAGTCCAGTCGTGTCCGACTCTGGGGTGTGGTGCTCATCTCCATTTATAAGCTGAAGAGCAGGCGTTGTCTGTAGACACCTCCAAGGTCATGTGGCCGGCATGACTGCATGGAGCGCCGTTACCTTCCCACTGGAGGTAGACCTATTGATCTACTCACATTTGCATGTTTTCAAACTGCTAGGTTGGCAGAAGCTGGGGCTGACAGCGGAAGCTCACACTGCTCCCCAGATTTAAAGCTGCGACCTTTCGATCAACAAGCTTTAACTCACTGTGCCACCGGGGGCTCCCATTGAAAAGCATAAATACTGAGAATATTTAAATGTTTATGCATTTTCTGGAGTGCGTGCCTTTGTAGAAGAATATTTTCTTTTTCTCTCTGGTTTTTCTCCCAATACAGATGGCAGAAGCTGGCTTCATTCATACTCCAAGCGAGAATGCACCCGATGTGGTCCAATGTTTTGTCTGCTTTAAGGAGTTGGAGGGGTGGGAGCCCGAAGATGACCCCATGTATGTACTATATTGTGAAACTTGGCACTGAAAAATGCTTGTATCAACCCCTATAAGTCTACACAGTACTAGTACTGTAGAGCAATGGAGGCAGGTTAAGTAAAAAAATGGCTATTCAAAATAAATTGTGGATGTAATACCTGTTGCTCCCAGTGTTTCTGTCAATGCAAGACTTCACCATGTCACATTTGTGGCTGCTAGGCTATTAAAAATACCTAAATGAGTTAATGCATACATACATACAATTGATGGAAAGAGGTATCGGGCATGGTAGACTTCTGTTATTCAACTGGCTAGTGAGTCAGATGGGAAGACTGAAAGGAGTTGTAGGTTTTTTCTTCTTCTAACAGCTCTCAGTTCTTAGGGAGGGATGCCTTTCTAATGCATAGCAAACTAATATAGTTCTTTCTATGAATTTTTAGGGAAGAACACCGGTCACACTCACCCAACTGTGCATTTCTTGCACTACAAAAAGACATAGCTGACCTCACAATTCAAGAGACGCTGAAACTTAGCAAAGAAAGAATGGTGAATCTATTGGTAAGTATGACTGTCAGGAGGGCACAGATTTACTCAGGCAACTGGTGTTTCTGCCTACCCTAACATTTCAGAATGGCTATCGAGCATGTCAGTCCCTTCATTTGGTGGTCTTATGTCTACCAGCCAGTTTACAACTCTGGGGAGACCTCTTTCCTGATGTGGTCTGATTTTTCCACTTCCTTGCTTTCCAAAGTTGCCTCTATGCATTCATATCGGCCATAGTTCTTCCTACAACAGAAAGTCCACCTTACTTTCTTTTTCAAATAAGAGCTGATTTGTGTTTTTTTTCCCCCTAGGAAAGGGAGTTTAACCTGAAAATTACCCAACGTGAAAAATATGCTGCCAACGTCCGTAATAAAATCCACTCTTATGGTTACTGAACTGACTCCTTAATGGGCTTCAGCAGAGGTTGAAATTCAATTGCTCTGCGTTTTAGTGTACAAGTTTCTTCTGGATTTTTTCTTCATTTTTTTGAATAAATAAATGTTACTGGTTTCTAATGTGCTGGCCTCCTGACACTTTCCTGGGAAGTAGTGCTTATAGCTTGTGATGGCTGAAAATCTCCAACTTTCTCCTTTCCATAAGGCTGTTTTTAATGTCACAGCTCTTAAGGGCTGAAAGGAACTTACCTCTAGTACTCTGGTAGTGTAGAAGGGGATGAAGAAAGAATGCTGGAGAAAAAAGTTCTTTATCTTGATCACCTTTGTGTTTGGCATACTTGTGTGGGTCTGAAAATTGAGAAGGTTCCTGCATAGAGATGAGTGCCGAGGCAGAAGCTACACATTATATATAGGACTGCAAGTGACGGCTGGTGTTGCTTTTGTTATCTCAGTAGCATGTGACTTGAATGAGGCAGCACAGCAGAACCGAAGAATATCAAGTTTCATTGACACCCATGGAACAGAACCATTATATTGAATGAAATGTGCTATTTTCCTATTTCAAAGGACTGTGAGATAATCATACAGTTGCAAAGGCCATCTAGTCTAATCTACTCTGCAGGTGAACACTACAGCACTCTTGAAAGATGCCCATCTAACCTGTTTAAAGACTTCAAAAAAGGAAACTTATCCTCTGTAGCAGTCTATTTCACTGTCAAACCGTTCATAAAATGAAGACATTCTTCATGTTGTGTCTGTACTTATTTAGAGCACTGAACCAGGCATGTAGCCGGGGGGGGGGGGCCTTGGGGGCTTCAGCCCCCCCCCCCCCAAATTCTGATGGTGGTCTGCGAGAAGGCCTTACTGGTACATTATTTAAACTGTTATGTTTATTCATATCATGATCTGATCACCATGCTCAATATATCCCATATGCATGGGGGTATTGAGGTAACGATACAAAAGGTTTGCTAGGGTAGACCCTCTTTCACTCAGACTCAGCCCCCCCCCCCAAACCAAACTGCCCCCCCCCCAAAACAAAATCCTGGCTACGGGCCTGCACTGAACGTTTGCCTTCTTTTGTGTGTAAACCGCCTTGAGTCCCTTTGAGGAGAGAGGGCAATCTAGAAAGAAAGTTTTATTAATATGTTTTGGTAGATTTGCTTTTCTTGAGATATGAATCCATTGGTTTGTGTTCTAGTTTCTAGAGCAGTAGAAAACATTCTTGCCCATTAGGTACTCTAGAGGTAGTGAGGATGCTTGCCATAGATGCAGGCGAAACGTCAGGAGAAATGCCTCTAGAACATGGCCCTATAGCCTGAAAAAAACCCACAAGAACCTAGTTATTCCAGCCATGAAAGCCTTCGACAATACATTCTTGCCCATCTTCTATTTGTCAACCCTGCAATTATCACTCAAGCCTCTTCTCCAAGTTAAACATATTCAAGTTGGTCCTTGTAAGGCTTGGTTTTCAGAACTGTGATTGCTTGATTGCCCATCTCTGGACATGTTCCAGCTTGTCAATGTCTTCCTTGAGCTGTCATGCCCAGAACTGGTATGATCTAACCCAGTGGTTCTCAACCTGTGGGTCCCCAGGTGTTTGGCCTACAGCTCCAAGAAATTCCAGCCAGTTTACCAGCTGTTTGGATTTCTGGGAGTTGAAAGCCAAAACATCTGGGGACCCACAGGTGGAGAACTACTGATCTAACCAAAGTGGAGTGAGTCTACTATGATCCAGAAACTTCCTAAGGAGATGGCGCTTCTTGTTGGGTATAGCAAGCATTCTCTGTATAAAACGGTTTGTCCATGCCAACGTCATTCCCCTTTTCTAAATCTACATTTTTATAACTTCAAGAGACCAAAAAAGCAAGCGGCCAGCATGAACAAGTTTAATTTCTTCCAGAACTAGTTTGTTAGTGGGGTGCAATTTCTGTTCACAAATTGCCCGCTGTCCTTTGATATCTGGCTGCCTAGTGATTTTGATAATGAAGAACTTGATGCTAAATACATTGTAATCCCAAAACATGATAATATCCATGAGGTTACTAGCATTTTTCTGCAATGGTCGATTTTGTTTGGAGTAGCTAATTTTCAACATCCTTGGTTGCAAAGTAATTGCCTAATCCTCTTTGTAATTCAGTTCAGAGTTTCTGAAAAAGTCTGGCTAGGTTTCCTAACCCAGTTTTCATCTTTGACTTTGTTTCTTTTGAAAGCTTCTGAGTGTTCCTTGAGCACCCCAGAGGCCATGAGTAGTCTGTGGGATTCAGGGTCCTTTTCATGTAGAAACCAAATACCCGTGTTTAGGTGGTTCACTAAATTGTGTTAATCAGATTTATTCAGGTGGGACAAAGTACCAGATGCAATGCATTGCGGGACAAAGTTCAAGATACGGTAACTAGCAGAAGAGTAGCATCCATATTGCAAACTAAAACCTCAGGATTTTTATAGTGATGGAGTCTAATTGGACTGAAACTAATTTGAAGGCAGATTTTGGAGTTCTGTCGAAAAGCACACTGAAAGTACTGATTCATTTCTAGGAACTACGAGAGAGATGGAAAACAAAATGCCAGGCATTATAATGCATTATGTGAATCAGTGATGTGCAAATTGCCTTTTTGAGGGTAGGCAACTCAAAGAAAGCTTAGCCATCCGTGTGTTTATTTACTGATGTCAGTGGGGCATTCTCTCTCAGATGGGCATACTGCTGTACTGTGCAATGATCACTGAGAGGACATTTCATCTTCCTAAGGGAGGCTGGTGAAGTCACATATTGTTCAAATGATGTGAACAGACAATCTCTTCTTTTTCAGAACAGCATACCTTCCAGTCATTAATGAAACTGTCAGTATGTTCAGGGTAAACAACGCAATACTTCATGCAATGCATAATTAACTGCTAACATTCATTGCTGTAAAGTGTGATAGATGCTAGCTTCACTGTCTTTTAAAATAATTGAGTGAATAAACAAAATACAAAACTACCAAAGGAAATGTGTAATTTTGGAATTCATCACATGGTTATGCTACTTTTGATGGCTCTTTAAAAAGGATTATGAAAGGAACTAGCAATCTTCGTTACAATTATATAGCTAAAATTGATTTTTTATTTGATGTGTACAAAAATTGTACCCTATTTTTAACGCTTTAGCATTGGGTCCTCTGATAGAAACAGGGTGTAGACTTAAATTATATAAATCTGAACAGGATGGGAAGCTGTTTTATTTACTTATTTGCTATAATTATATCCCGCCTTTCTCGACCCTGAGGGAGACTCAAGACAGCTTACAGCATAGGCAATAATTCAATGCCTTAAAAACAATATACATCAAATATAAATTAAATAAGCATTTCAATTAAACATTTAAACATACAAAGCATTAAAACATAAAACATTGCAATTACAAATATAAAACCATGTAATTTTGGTAATCATTACACAAAAATCCAAGTCCATCTATTGCACTGTGTTATTTGCCAAAGGCTTGATCCTAAAGCCACGTTTTCACTCTCTTTCTGAAGGTCAAGAGTGAAGGGGCTGATCTAATATCACTGAGGAGGGAATTCCAAGCTGAGGGGGCTCCATCGAAAAGGCCCTGTCTCTCGTTCCCATTAATTGTACCTGCGAAGGAGGCGGGACCGAGAGCGGGGCTTCTCCAGATGAGCTTAATCTCCAAGATTGTTCATAGGGAGTGATACATTTGGACAGGTAAGCTGGACCGGAACCGTTTAGGGATTTATAGGTTAAAGCCAGCACTTTGAATTGTGCTGAGTCGCAGACTGGCAGCCAGTGGGGCTGACATAACAGGGGTTGTGTGCTTCCTGTACACTGCTCCGGTGAGCAATCTGGCTGCCGTCTGTTGGACCATTTGGAGCTTTGGAAGAGTCTTCCAAAGCAACCCCACATAGAGTGCATTGCAGGACATGTGCAAATGGATAAGAACTGCATTTTGCCCCATTTACCTTTGGCCCTGTCTCCCTATGCCCACAGCAAACCTGTATTATCAAGATATATATGTGATAACAAGAACCCAAACTAATAAGCAAATACTAGGCCTGGGTAACAACGGAAAAATTTGTTTCTAAAATCGATTCGTTTTTTGGGGGGTTTTTGCGTTTCGTTATTTAAAATAATTACAAAATTTTCCTTTTAAAAAGTTCGATATTTACGAAATTTCGTAAATGTGAAAAAATTACAAAACATTAACGAATCGATTTCCGAAACAATAACGAATCGATTCGTTAATGGCGGACGCGACCGCGAAATACGCTAAAAAACCTCCAAAAACTTCTGAAGCTTCCCTCTCCCTCTGTTGTTGACTGTTGGTGTGATATTATAATTTTTTTTCACTAATTAAACAAAAAACTTGCCCCAGACATGCGGAAATAATAACGAAACGACCTCAAAACAATAACGAAACGAATACAATAACGAAATACGAAGCATTTACAAAACGTGTTTAAAAATTCGTTTTTTAAAAAAATTGCTCCAGAATGGTTCGTTATCGTTTTGTAATTTAAAAAAATAACGAATTATTAACGAATTACGAATTAACGAAACGAAACCGCCCAGCCCTAAACAAAACTACAAGTGGATGAAGTGCATCTTTCCAGTCCTTTGTGTGGACCATAAGAACATCTAATGAGAAGTCTGAAATGCCTCCTGGAAAACATTAAAGCGGCCAACACTAAGCTAATCAATAGAATCATTGCACGCTGTTTACAACCATGGGATAGTTGGAGGTGTTTTTGAGAAATGTAACACTTTTGTTTGTGACAACTAATGCTGGTCAGGTTTATTTGGATGGTCTAGTCCAAAATGTAATGTACTCTGCTTCTCTAATTTTTGAAGCACTTTTGCTAGTTACTTGTAGAGGAAAGAGAAGGCGTCAAGAAACAGGCCGTTCCTTGCTCTGACCATCCCTGTCTGGTGGGAGCTGACATCTGCACATGATCCTGCTGTGGAGAAGAAAGTTTTCACAGCGTTGATACCTTTGTATGTGATTAATCACATAGGGAGACTCAGTGAAATTCACAGAATCTCGCAAAGATAACGGGATAAATTATTAATTTCTGTTGAACAAGATGTGCCTTAACTTTCCCCTTTGGATGTTAGACTCCTCCTTGCTGAGTGCTGACAATGAGTGGGCAGTGTGCGTGTGTTTTTCCAGACACATTAAGTCCCAGCTTTCACTCGGTGTTGAAGCCATAATGAACCCCCAGAGTAATTGCAGTAAGAATAGTGAAATGCGCTTTCTGTAAATTGCAATAACTAGCTCTGTTTGGCATGGAGGAGAGATAGCTGCTGTCTTTCTGGATGGGGCCAGCCAATACTGTTAGACCCAGGGTGGCCTCAATACATTTTGAGATGTCATTAAAAGGCAGGGAACATCTATTATATTGAATTCATTTATTCTATGGATCAGGGTGAGGTGGACTTTTTGTCTCAGCAATCAAAATGTTGGTGATTCTTGATTTTCATGAGTTGCTGCTAGATTGCAAATAATGTTTTACAAAGGTTCTTGTGGGTTTTTTCGGGCTATAGGGCCATGTTCTAGAGGCATGCCTCTAGAACATGGCCCTATAGCCCGAAAAACCCCACAAGAACCTAGTGATTCCAGCCATGAAAGCCTTCGACAATACAATGTTTTACAAAGACCAAGGCTTGAAAGTGAGGGTGAGCAGTGGAAAATGCATTATTACTTTGACTTAGTAATTAAGTATAACAAAACATACTCTGCTTTAAAAAAAGATGAAGTGTCCAGGCAGAAGTATTAATGGAAGCCACTGGAGATGTGGGACTGGATGGAAAATAAAACAGATTTAAACCAGTTGAGCTGGGTGCTGTCAGCCTCTAGCTAGGCTGGGCTGTTGTATTTATAGTTTGTGTTTCCCCTGCCTTGAAAAGGGAAGTACAGTTACTCCTCCAGGTTTGCAGGTTTGAGATTAGCATATTCCACTGCCAAACAGCTATTACCATTAGGAAGTTATTCCAGAAATGTATTTGTTTTTATTATTTATTTACAGTATTTATACCCCACCCATCTCATTACGAAGGGGACTCAGAGCAACTTACAGAACACACATACGGCAAAATTCAATGCCGATTATACAATATAATTAACAAGGACAGACAACACAAACAGAGGTAAAGGCAGATTCCCCCATCTTTATTTCCAGCATCTTGGAGGCTGTGCTTGACTCTGGCCATGGAAGGTGCTGTCGCTCCATCTTCCATGCTGAGCAGCTTCCCCTGATTGATGGCCTTTTGTGGGTGCCTTTATTACCTCCCCATTAAAAATGATACCTATTTTATCTACTTACATTTCTGCTTTTGACCTGCTATTTTAAATTGCATTAAACAGGCAGGATTATTTTAAATATATATATGCTATTGTGGTTTTTCATGCTTATATTGTTTTATTAATTTTATGTTTATGCTGTTTACTCTGTGTGAATTGATGATGTTACTTGGAAACCGCTCTGAGTCCCCTTGGGGAGATAGAGCGATATATAAATAAAGTTTTGTTGTTGTGTTGAGCTGGGGCTAACAGGGGGTGCTTACCCCACCTGGGCTCAAACTCCTGACCTTCCAATCAGCAGGATTGTTCTGCAGCACAGTGGTTTAGCCTGCTAGACTCCAGGGCTGCAAAACCAAAGTTGGCCCTTCCACAATTTGACATCCTTTCAAATATTCAACCACGGCTGTCATGTTCCCTCTCAGCTTTCTTATCTCCAAGCTTAACATACCCAGCTCCCAAAGCTGCTCCTCATAGGGCTTGGTTTCTAAGCTTTTGATCATGTTGATGGTCCTTCTCTGAGGTTTCACCAAAGCAGAAGAGACAAGCTAGGTCAGACACCTTTCTGTAGTTCAATCCATGTTCATAAATATTTGGATTTTTTTTACCAATTTGGAAGATCGGCCAGTGAGGGAAGAAGCCATCTGTAACTGGGCACATCATTTTTTTCCTTATGATTTTGTTACCCAGAATTATCTATGTGCTCAGGGGAAGAATTGTTTAAAGTTACAGACAACAAGGTTGCTGTTGCCTGTTTGTGGTCTAAAATTATTTAGCCACTTGTGTTCCCTTTATTTTATCACTTTTATACTTATTTTAATTATGCAATGTTTTTGACACAAAATAAACAAATCTATGTGCTTTATGCCAGAACACTTGTGACTCTTAAATAGAGATTGGTGTGGGTTGTTAAAGAGTGTTGCACTTAAGAAACAAAGCAAACTGGCTCAGGGTCCCTTTTTAGCAAGTCATGGAATGTCCCAAGGTCAGCCACTCTTAGCCTAAGCCTGTTGACGTGATGGTTGCAAGGGCAAAATGGAGAAGGAGGAGGAGGAGGAGGCAGAAGAGCCCTTCAGAAGAGGAAGCAGAAGAGGAGAACTGCAGATGCTGAATTAAGTTAACTAGCAAAGGGGGAAGGAAACTACCACCTGAACAAATCTACGGGCAGATAAACAAGGACATTATAATGTGGTTTGAAACTGGCTCTAGGGCAGGGGTGTCTACAAAACAAAACCCCCCGATGTGTACTGCAACATGCATTAAGCCAGAAAAAATGCACTAAAGAAAACTCACCAGAAAGTTTGGAATAGGCCAGGGAATCGGCAACCAACCTCCATACAGGACTAAAATCTGAGACTGAAAAGTGCTTGCCAAGATCCCCTTAAGTGCTGAACACTTAATTTATTTGCCATATTTATATACTATCTTTCTCAGCCCGAGGGCAACTCAGGATGGTTTACAGAGGGCACAATTTGATGCCCCCAATAACATAAAAACTTTTTAAAAAACACACAGCTGGTAGAAGGTAAAAAAATATTCTTCTGGGAGAGGAAAACTGCATCATTCCTATGAGGGTTCTCATTTCCTGCCCCTTTGTTCTCATACCTTGTGTCCTGCCATGGTCTAGCAATGATCCTGAATGGGCATCATAGCATCTCACACTGTTGCAATGGGTTAAACCAGGCATGGGCAAACTTTAGCCTTCCAGGTGTTTTGGACTTCAACTACTGGCTGTTAGGAATTGTGGGAGTTGAAGTCCAAAAACACCTGAAGGACCGAAGTTTGCCCATGCCTGGGTTAAACCCTTGTGCTGGCAGGATTGCTGACCAATAGGTCAGCGGTCCAATTCTGGGGAGAGCAGGTTGAGCTTCCTCTGTCAGCTCCAGCTTCCCATGTGGGGACATGAGAGAAGCCTCCCACAAGGATGGTAAAACGTCAAAACATCCTGGCATCCTTTGGGCAACATCCTTGCAGACGGCCAATTTTCTCACACCAGAAACGACTTGCAGTTTCACAAGTCGCTCCTGACATGAAAAATAAAATAAAATCTCAGACTGGGTGAGAAGGAGAATTAAAAAACATTCCTCGGTTGGGGTCTGATCCGCGTTAAGGGGATACTGTGACCACCTTTCCAGCTTTGAACTGGTTCCTAGGGCGAATGTGTAGGTGCTCCTTAGTGGAACCCTTTCCTTTCATCCACTTAAGCATCTGCATAGAAGGAGCTCCCAGTGGCGCAGTGGGTTAAACCCTTGTGCCGGCAGGACTGACGACGGACAGGTCGGAGGTTCGAATCCGGGGAGAGCGCGGATGAGCTCCCTCTGTCAGCTCTAGCTCCCCATGCGGGGACATGAGAGAAGCCTCCCACAAGGAGGGTAAAACATCCGGGCGTCCCCTGGGTAACATCCTTGCAGTCGGCCAATTCTCTCATTTCAGAAGCGACTTGCAGTTTATCAAATCGCTTTTGACACGACAAAAAAATCTGCGTGGAACCACCCTAGAACAAGCAGGGAGTGCCTTTGAACAGGGACAGATTGTGCGTTGTGTCTGGATGTGAGAAGACAAGAAAATCTTCTCACAGAGACACCCGCGGAACTGCCCGGGCTGGGGGCTCTGGAGCCTTGGGGGTCTCGAGGCTTGCTTGCCAAAGTGGGCTGGATTCCAGAGCAGCGGAAGGCTGCCTTCAGGCTACAGTGGAGCTGCATGCTCTTAAGTCAACGTGCTCTCCTCCTCCTCCTCCTCCTCCTCCTCCTTTTCTCCCTGAGGCTGGCAAGGGGAGGGGGCGTTTCCCGCCGGGCTGCCACTTGCTGCTACTTTCCTCCCTGGCGCAGCGGCCAGGTTTCCCCAAGGCAGGCAGGCAGGCAGGGCTGAGGAGGAGGAGGAGGAGGATGACGGGGGCGATGGGCTCCCCCCTGGCGCGGGGCAAGGCGGCGGTGCGCCCCGGGGCGCTGTGCTTGGGCGCGGGGCTGTGCGGGGCGCTGAGCTTCGCCCTCCTGGCCGCCTCCCTGGCCACCGACTACTGGTACCTGCTCCGCGTGGACCGCGAGGGCGGCAACCGCAGCGCCGGGGAGGCCGAGAGGCTGGGCTCCCACTCGGGGCTCTGGCGCCTCTGCGAAGGTAAGCATTCCGCGGGCGGAGAGGAGCGATGTCCCCTGCTGCGCCGAGGGGGAGAGCTACAGTCCTGGGCTTTGGGTCCAGCCACCTCCGCGGATACCGCAATCCGCGGGTGTTCAAGACCCTTATATAAAATGGCAAAAATCAAGGTTTGTTTTGGGTTTTAAAAAAATGTATTTTCAAAGCCGCGGATACCGAATCCGCGGGTACGGAGGGCAAGCAGTAGGTACCCTTCAGCTCCAGGGGCTGCCTTTGATGCCACTGCAAGGCTAAGGGCGGCCCTTGCCCCACTCCGCGCCCCTCGCTGCTATCGTCTTGCTCCAAGCCGTTCCTATCTGTTTGCCCCGTTGACAGCCAGGACTCCCCACCCAGTCGCCTCTGCCTTGGTCTCTTCCCCCGACACAGGATTCCTCAAAAACCGCCCCTAGCCTCACCCCCTCTTCTGTTCCCCCCACTTTGCCCTTACTCCCCTTTATGCCTGAACCTGTTATTGCTTCATCCCAGGTGCATATTTAAGGTATGCAAGGATAATGGGGTTTTTTTTGTGTGTGTGTCAGGAGCAACCTGAGAAACTGCAAGTCACTTTTGGCTTGAGAGAATTGGCCGACTGCAAGGACGTTGCCCAGGGGATTACCGGGTGATTGATATTTTACCATCCTTGTGGGAGGCTTCTCTCATGTCCCTGCAGGGGGCTAGAGCTGACAGAGGGAGCTCAACCCGTTCTCCCCAAATTCAAACCCCTGACCTATTGGTCAGCAGTCCTGCCAGCACAAGGGCTTAACCCAGGGGCTCCTGAGCTTGTGGTGGCGAGGATTGCCTTCATGAAGGCAGGGCAAAGGTGGGAAGGAACAAAAGAGTATCTGCAGTAAGAAACTGGGAGGAATGTTTTTTCTTTGAGAATCAGCTCAGAGGCTGGATGGCCATCTGTCAGGAGTGATTTGAATGCAATAGTCCTGCTTCTTGGCAGGAGGTTGGACTGGATGGCCCATGAGGTCTCTTCCAACTCTTTGATTCTATGATTCTATGATTCAGAAGGATAACTGAGAGTGGAGCTGAAGGGAGTCTGAAGTATCAAACCTCAAAGCAACTCAATTGGTTGAGGGAAGAGGATAGTTGAGCGAAGATAATATTTCCGGCTCTCAAAGAAACTTGTAAATGCATTAACTCCAATGCCTCACAAGAGTTCTGGAGACCGCAGTGGTATGTATGATGAGTGGGTTCCCCTGCATGTGTGCCTTCAAGCGACTGAACCCAAGGGGTGCTCACCAATGGTCCCTCTTCATCCTGCGGAGAAGTGATGAGTGGAGTGTCGCAAGGTTCGGTCCTGAGCCCAGTACTGTTCAACATCTTTATTCATGTATTGAATAAAGATTTTGATGACATATTTATCCAGTTTCCAGTTGACACCAAACTGGGAGGGATAGCTAATACTCCAGAGAACAGGATTAGAATTCAAAAAGATCTCAACAGATTATTAGAGAGCTGGGCCAAAACCAACAACATGAATTTCAACAAGAACATTTAGGCAGAAAAAAAGAAATGCAAAAGATACAGGATGGGTGATGCCTGACTTGACAACAGTCCACGTGAAAAAGATCTTGGAGTCTTCATAGTTGAACATGAGCCAAAAGTGTGATGCAGCAGCAAAAAAATCCAACGGGGTTTTGGGCTGCATCAAAAGGAGTATTTATAGTGTTTAGTTCGAGGGAAGTCATGGTGCCTCTCTATTCTGTCTTGGTCAGACCTCGCCTGGAATATTGTGTCCAGTTCTGGGTACCGCAGTTCAAAAGACATATTGACAAGCTGGAAGGTGTCCAGAGGAGAGCAACTAAAATGATCAAAGGTCTAGAAAGCATGAATTCTTACAAGGAGCATCTTAAAGAACTGGATATGTTTAGCCTGCAGAGGAGGCTGAGAGGATACATGATAGCCATGTATAAATATATGAAAGGATGCCATAAGAAAGAGGGAGCAGGCTTGTTCTCTGCTGTCCTGCAGACTAGGACTTGGAGCAATGGGTGCAAATTACAGGAAAGGAGATTCCAGCTGAACATTAGGAAGAACTTCCTGACCATACGAGCTATTCAACAGTGGAACTCTCTGCCTTGGAGTGTAGTGAAAGCTCCTTCCTTGGAGGCTTTTAAACAACAGCTGGATGGCCATCTGTCGGGTGTACTTCAATTGGGTTGGACTAGATGGCCCATGCTGTCTCTTCCAACTCTGATTCCATTATTCTAAACATTGTTATTATTATTACTATTACTACTACTACTACTACTATTTATTCAGACACTGCCTTCCTCTAAGGCGGAAAGAGTGTGATTTGCCCAAGGTAATTCAGTTGCTTTATGTGGCCAAAGGGGTTTTGAATCCTTGAGTCCTAGTCCAAGACTCAAAGTAATATGCCACACTAGCTCCTTTCTTGGAAGCTTTTAAACAGAAGCTAGATGGCACACTTTGATTGTGCACTTCCTACATGGCAGTGGGTTGGATTAGATGGCCCATATGGTCCCTTCCAACTCTATTATTCTAAATCACCTATCAGCTTACAGATTTCATAGGGTTTTCTTAGGCAAGAAATATTCAAAGGTGGTTCATCAGTTCCTTCTCTGAAATCCAGTCTTTAGCACCAATTATTTCTTGGCTGCCTTGCATCCAAGTATTAACCAAGGCTGACCCTGTTTAGCCTCCAAGGTTAGATGGGATCTGTTGCCTTTAGGGTAATTATGGACCTAGCTAAATGACAAGGGAAATAGAAGAGAGAGCCTTGTTCTGGTTTCAGAGCTGGGCTCTTCTACTTTCTGTCTCACTTTCTGTGTAAGTGAGGCTGGAATTCGCTCTCTGTAAAGTGTAATTTTGGGCAGAAAGAATGGGATTTGTCAATAGACATTGTTTTTGTGATTTTTCCAGTTGCAAAGGTCTTCACTCTACACACAGGTCTCTTTGCCCAGTTTGGAGAGAAAGGTGGATCCAAAGCCAGGCTACTAAAAGTTAGTAATCTGTAGCCCAATGTTCAGCCAGATGTCTTATCAGGAATGCATCCTGACCAACTTACATTCCTCTCCAATGTCTGAAATTACACTTCATACATCTTGCCTGGGGGCATAATAAAGGAGTGAACCAGCTGCTGTGACACTGATGTAGGTAGAAGGGAATCTTGCCCATCACGAAACCCTAAGGAATCGAACCGGGTGTACATTTGCTCAGCCTTACATTTTTTTAGAATGCCCCATGCAAATTGCCAAGATAAAAACTAGTATTTAGGCATTGCTCTCATAAAAAGGCACTTGGGGCCAATAGCAGGTCAATGCCACCTGTCTGTCTTGGCACCATTTACATCAACTTTTTGTCCACGAAAGGTTCCAGACAGGTGTTGTGTCTGGGCTGCAGAATATCCTTCCTGAATTAGCCTTGCCAGTTAGAGGAAGCAGGCTAGCATTATTTCCTTGAGAGTGTCTCCCTCTGATGCCCTGGTTCTCTTTTGCTTCCTCAGGGCAGAATGCCTGCATGCCTCTGATTGACCCATTTGGTACAGAGAGCTGGCAAGTCCCTGCGTCACTCCAGCATCTCATCTGTGAGTAGAGAACATTTTACAGGGTTTGGGACTTTGGGATGTGGTGGAAATCTTCATTTTATAGCTACATTAAGCTTGACGGTGTGCCTTTTGTTGGTGGGACCATTTGTCGGAAATTCAGGTGGCGTTTGTCAGTGCTGACAAGTTAGTCAGAGTTAGGTTCTCATTTGACACTTGGGAGTGGAGATTGTGGGATTGTTTGTTCCCCAACATAAAACACTATAGGCCTTTAAGAAAGTGTTTTACATTCTATAACATAACAGGGATCTTTCTTTGCCCTCTGCAAGTAAATTCCTTGCTCTTTGTCTCTTTGCCAGGCATGCACCGAGCCTTTGTGGTCCTACTGCCACTCAGCCTCATCTTGATTGTTTTTGGCTGGATCTGTGGGATCATGGGATCCTTGGCCCGGAGCGCCTGCCTTCTTCAGTTCACAGGCTGCTATTTTCTGCTGGGCGGTGAGTGATCCTATGGCTGGGAGGGTCATGGAGTGGTGCCCCAGTGATCAAAACTGCCATTGAATCCTTGCTTAGGTTTTGCTCTGGAGATTATTTACTAGAATCTCCATTTGCGTATAGAGCTTGTAATGGCTCTGGCTGCTAGATGGTCACAACAGATTGAGAATAATGGACCAATTAGTGGCTCTCGGTATGATAGCCACATCCTTGATGATATATATATTTCTCTGATTACTTTATTGTTTTTCCTTTCTTTTTTGTCCTGGTCAGCAAGTACACAAATCTTCTCTTACTACCAAATTTGTATTGGTGGTTCTTCTCTTTTTCTCCTGGGTAGCAGAATAGAGGCACAACTGTCAGAGGCTTAACAAAGAGCCTCAATGGCATGGTTAATGGATGAATAGGCTCCAGCTACTGTTGGACTGCACCTTCTATCAGGACTAGGCTCAGCATAGCCAATGCTGATGGGTGACAGGAGCTGCAGTATATGACTATCTGGAGATTCTCAGGTTACTTAATTTGACTTCAAGGGGTCAGTCTATCATCTGATGCATTCTGACCCACTAATATCAGGAGCCTTTGCTAGCTACTTTGGCTAGGCTCCATGTAGTCTCTTATTTCCTTTTTGGCCATTGTGAGGAAATGGAACCAAAGGTATATGTATAACTAAAAGAAAAAAAATTACGAATGGCAAGGAAGTTTTAAATGTTTTTTCATAAGTTTACTTTTATTAAAGGAGCAAAAATCATTGAGGTTTTAAGGTAAATATTGCATATACAGAACAGGTAGTCCCCGAGTTACAAATATCCGATCTACAAACAATTATTAAGAATGGGGATGAGACAACAGGAAGTGAGAGAAATCTATCCCTCGGAAGGGAAATTCACTCTTGTAAGAGTTATCGTGTGGAAAAGGTATCTCAACTGAAGCTTTGTCATCAATCCTTGTTTCCACTATAATCCAAATTTGTTAAAACCCAATTATCACAGGGACAGAAAGTGAGGTGAGATCTTCTGAACAAGAGACAGAAAAAGAAATGTTACAGTGCTGTTAACCCTCCATATGCCTATCTAAGCTAAAGAATATATATTTTTGGCTGGAACTACACTTAAAAATGTACCTGTTCCAACTTGCATACAAATTCGACTTAAGAACAAACCTAAAAAACCTATCTTTCCAACTTGGGGACTGCCTAGATAGGCTTTCCCCGCCTTTTGATAGGCTGCTTTCTGATAACTCACTCTTTCAATGCTTTTAAATGGCAGACAAGTTTCATTAATTTGTTGAGGGGTCGATTCTTTTCTCAGTTCTTGCCTAAGAGGCTTGCTTGCACACACATATGTGGTCCTAAGGGTTTCCTATGGAAAGACTTTTACATGCACGCAAAAGCTTTCAGCTTCAGCACACACATTGAAGAAGTGGATTATGTTTTTCAGTGGCCAACATGCATTTGCAATCCGATTCAATTTTTCAACTGATTTCACTTTCTGACAAAGCTGTGGCCCCTAACCCATCAGACAAGTAGGGGTCTTCTGTATTTCAATTTGACTCTCAAATTTCTTCTTTTTGCTGACATTTCTGTGCAAGAAAGCCAATTTTACATGATTCTAAAATTTTGCTTCTTTCAAGGTACGTAGGATTGATTGCTGAAGCTGTTTACCTGAAATGGTAGTTTAGTGTTCCAGGTTCAACCCTGGAATCTCCTGCTAAGGAACAATAGCAGTTTTTTTTTTCCGTGTCAGGAGCGACTTGAGAAACTGCAAGTCGCTTCTGGTGTGAGAGAATTGGCCGTCTGCAAGGATGTTGCCCAGGGGATGCCAAGATGTCTTACCATCCTGTAGGAGGCTTCTCTCATGTCCCTGCATGGGAAGCTGGAGCTGACAGACGGGAGCTCACCCCACTCCCTGGATTCCAACCGGCCACCTTTCAGTCAGAAGTCCTGCTGGCACAAGGGTTTAACCCACTGCACCACTGGGGGCTCCTGAGTACCAATTGATGTGGGCCATCTCAGTCTGATGCCCCAAAGAATCACAGGCAGCCTGGGGTAGGCAATCCTGAACTAGAGGAGAGGCAAGCAGTTTTAATACACAGATTTTTTAAAAGGTACATTTTGTAATTGAATTGGGGTTATTTTTCTGACCCCATTGAGAATTCCGCAGTATTGCATGATATAAAAATGCTCCATGTCTCCAGGAGTTCATTACAGATACATCTTCAAGGATATTCCAATTTATTGAATCACTCAGTTGGAAACGCACACACACACAATCTGCAAAATGTGTATTTCAAAGCTGCTAGCCCTTCTAATGTGCAAAAAAAATGAAATAAATAGTTAAAAATTGATGTTTTATAAAAGCAAAACCACCTGCTTAAAGTATCTGTTTTGCCTTAATGTCAAAGAGGAAAACCTTGAAGGCTCGGCTAAGGGAGGCTTTATCTAGGTATCACTAGAATTTACCCTATTCAGAGGTAATGCCTGCTGTCCAGCCTGCTCCTCTGATACAACTTTTCTTTCCCACCCCCCTTTTCTTTCCTACCCAGCGCTGCTGACGATGTCAGGAATTAGCATCTACATCTGCTACTCTGGAGCAGCATTCACAGAGACAGTCCGTATGTTTGACCAGGAGCGCTTTAAGCACGTCCACATTGCCTTTGGCTGGTCCCTGGCTCTTGCCTGGCTCTCTTTTGGCACCGAGGGACTAGCTGGTGTCCTGTTTCTCCTGGCCGCTCGGCAGCTCCACCTGAAGTCCAATGCATGTTCAGTGTCCATTTGACTACCATGGAGAGGATTGAAGAGTGGAATTGGGGTGTGTGGAGAGGAAGTTATGGGGCTGCAAGAGAACCCTTCACTCTCAGTGGCCCCTTCCTGTTCTATATACGAAAACCTGGAAGGTGCTCCCTCTTCCTTCATAGCCACAACACATAGACACTCGTTGATCACAGAACCAGGGCTGTGGCTGACAGATAGAAGGGTCTCTCTGTGAGTGTTAGTTATGTGAGGAACTGGCTTTTACTCATAAGGTCTAGCAGTCACTTTCTTTGCTTTTCAGCTCGATGAAGCACTAAGAAGGATGGCACTGTGGGCACCTCTAAATAGAGAAGCAAAGCTGAGACAGAAAGATTAGAAAGCAGCACCCTGTCGTTTTCCCAAGAACCTTTTACTCTCTCTCCTTCTATACATAGCTATTCCCATCAAGTATGGACTGTCTTCCTTTGGTGTGCCTTGGACACCTTGCAATATTTGGATCCAGTAAACACACTGAAAAAAAATCCTTTCGGATAGAGAAGAGTCTGTCAGCAGTAGGTACAATGCTTGCTACACCAGACAGGAGCTGTCAAAGAGACTGTTGAATTGTTTTTCTAGAAGGCCCACTGCTACTGCCTGCAGCAGGTCACTCTGTATGATTTCTTTGTCCTAAGATCCTGCTAGTTCTGCCTCCTTCCCTGAAACAAGGGCAGGATGCAGCCTGCAGAAGTTTTCCCACACACAAAGGCACACAGGGTGTTGGTTTGTTTCTTCTCGTGTCAGGAGCAACTTGAGAAACTGCAAGTCGCTTCTGGTGTGAGAGAATTGGCCATCTGCAAGAACATTGCCTAGGGGTTGCCCAGATGTTTTGACATTTTACCACTGTTGTGGAAGACTTCTCTCATGCCCTCACATGCAGCGGGAGCTGACAGAGGGAGCTCATCAACACTCTCCCTGGATTCGAACCTGCGACCTGTCAGTCTTCAGTTTAACTCGTTGTGCCATGGGGGGCTCCAGGGTGTTGGTAGTAGACTGAAAAAAAGTAGACAGTAGCCACAGCGTGTTACTGCACTCTGTGATGAGTCTGGAAAAGGAGGACACCTGTTTTCATGCAGAATGGGTCCCAGGCCATGAAGGGACAGCAGCTCCTTCAAGTAAAGTTCTGGGGCAGGTAGCTGAGGTCTGTAAAGAAAATGATCCTAGGAAGTTCCCCTTCTAGATTTTAACTAGCACTCCTACATCTGACTCTCAATAGCAGGGGATCGACCAGCCATAGCTGGCTATTTAGCTGAATGTAGAATGATAAAAAGATGCCATTGTAGCAGAGGACAATATATGGTGCATAGTGAAGACTATATCTTAGGTCTTTGATGTGTTGACTGCCAACTGCGAAAAAGGAAGAGGTGTGTCTTGAATCTTGGTCTAATCTGTAGGGAGGTCAGGAACAGTAGGCACTTGTTTTTTTCTTTTGTGTGCACAGGATTTGGAGTTCACACTTGAATTTCCACTGTAAAGCACTGCTCAAAATGTAGACGTCAGCCTTGATTTCAGGTCGATTGGCACAATTGAATCAGAAACTAACATAACTGAGTTTTACGAGCCTGCCTTGGCTTAATTCCACATTGGCATGCCAAGCACCAACTCAAACTTCTGGCCTGCAAGCTGAAAGGATGTCACTGCTCACAGTGGTCCAGCACAAAGTGCAATTTGTTCAACGCCAGTTGTGTGTCATGAGGGGAGATGTCGCAGTGCCAGACGGCACGGAAGCTGTGCTCACCCCATGGGAAGAGCCGCACGCTAATGGCATGGCCAGTGTCAGCCATCTCCTCTGCACTCACAGCCTCCATTAGCTCGCACAATCTGTCAGGAGTCAGCCTGGGTGTTGGCAATGTCACCATGACAATATTGGTCTCCACTGTGGCTGGATTTATGGAGCAGAGAGAAGAACCAAGAGCACAGACACCTGTGAGGAAAAATGAGGGGGTCAGAAAGATGAGACACTACAGAATCCCTCAACTTTATTGCTACAGAGGAAAAATGAGCATATGATAAAGTGGAAAAGGAAGGCAAGGCAAGGAATTGAGAAAGGTAGGTTCCTTGCAGTTAACAAGAAAGACTAGCCTGAAAAAAGGACTCCAAGGAGGATACTAACACCACAGTAACATAAATCTACCCTTCACTCATGGAGTGAATTTATTACTCTGAGACGACTTAGCAGTGAGGCTGTATCTCTCCCCATTCCCACAACATAAGCACCTTGGGCAAAGCACCTGGCGTTGCTATGATCCCTTTGTAGTGTCTCCTCCACATGGCTTAATGCAACAAGGCCTGCTGCTGCCAGAACCCCTGCCTGGCACATCCCACCTCCAAGGAGCTTGCGCACACGCCAGGCGTCGGAGATGAACTCTTTGGATCCTACCAGAAGTGAGCCTACCGGTGCCCCTACGCCCTGTGAAGCAAAGCAAAAACAGAATCATGCAGCATCCAAACCCCTTTCCCCAAGTCCTTCTGAGGGATTCTGCCTGTATTATTCAATTGTCCTTTAGGAGCCTCCTCTAATTACCTCTGGTTCATGAATGGGAAATGTGTTGCCCTCCAGGGGTTTGGGAACTGCTCCTCCCATCAGCAAGCAAAGCCAACAGTAAGGAAGCATGGGAACTGCAGTCAAGCATCCCCACTTTTCCCCAACTTGGTGAGGAGAAATCTGGCAAAGGGTCCGGGCAATTAAAGGTATTGTCATAGGTTTCTGACACAGGTTACAAGTGCTTCATTTATACTTTCCAAGTTCCCTGCAATATTTACAGACTCATTAGTAACTTCTCACCTTAGAGAGGCACAAAGAGATGGAATCACAGTGCTGAGAGATATGACTTGCTGGCACTCCCAGTGCTACAGCAGCATTAAGCAAACGGGCACCATCCATGTGTATCCGCAACCTATACCGCTGGGATAGCTGACGCAACTGTGTAGAAAAAGAACAAGTCAACATTTGAAAAAAATGACTCACATGATCCAGAAGAAGATAAACCAGGGGCATTCTGACCTGAGATACCACATTTAGATCAGAGAATAGCAGCCCTAGTTCTGGGATAAGACAATGCTGGATAGCAACTGGGAAAGGCTATCAAAGAATCCAAACAGGAAATTGCTTACTAAGATTGTGCCCAAACAGCAGGGCTTGAGTTAGGGGTTTCAGTTCTTTATTGCAATTTATGACCATATTTCTGTAATAGCTCAGAGAAAGAGGTTAAGAAATTTATTGGGTCAGACAAAAATGCACAGAATACATTGTGCAAGCTTTTAAAGCTCCACTGTGTTCTTCATCAGGCAAAGGTGTTCGTACAGAAGAAGAAAAATGTTAGTGCAATAGGCTTACATTTTTTCATAAGTTGGTTTCGTTAAAACGGCATGAAAACTTATCAATGAAAGCAGGCGTCACTCCCCTCTTTGACCATGTGGGCACTGGAAAATCCAGGTAGTAAATTTTCACAAAATGGTCACAAAATCCAGGCAGTAAAATTTAAATTCCATTAGTAATGGAAAAAGTAACTTCCCTTGAAATCCAAGCCTTTTCTCTCCTGGCTGAAGCTACTGCCTTTCTTGGGCAAAGAACACTGAATGTCCCAAGCTGCCTCTGTACTGTTGCATCTGGAAACGTTTTTTACGTGCAGTGTAAGTAAAACTTACCAAATGCAGTCCCAATGAAGATATTTTACCTGTGTTGCAGATTAAAAGCCTCAAAGAGTTAAATTCTAGCCCCTTTTATTCTTTTGTATTTTTCCTTCTCCTTTAACATCTTTGATTGACAGAGAAGGAGCTTTAAAAGCTTGCATTGTGTATTTTGTGCATTTTGATTGGCCTGAAAAAGATATTGCTATTTTGGAAATTTTGAATGTTGTTGCTTGGCCAAGACAGCTATCCCTTGTTATGCTAACAGCTAGATCAGTGGTTCCCAACCTTTGGTCCTCCAGGTGTTTTGGACTTCAGCTCCCACAGCTGGTAATCTGGCTGGGATTTCTGGGAGTTGAAGTCCGAAACACCTGGAGACCCAAAGTTTGGAACCACTGAGCTACAACATAATTTTCTAGTAGATTTGGGTGTTTGGATGCTCAACACAAAATAGTATAGCAATGTCCGTATCTTCTGAGACTCCCTAAGCATGTTTATGGATACCTTTGTAAATTAAAATAAATGTAATTAGTCTGACAATGTTTCAGCTGAAATAGTGGGGGAGGAAGCAACAGTGAGAAAAAGACTATTAAGTTTCCGGATAGTCACAGGCAGACATCCTGGCAGGACTGTACATTTGGGTGGAAGGGAAAGGAAGCACATATCCTTTCAACATATAGGAGCGAGATGCTTTCTGCTCTTTGACAAATCCAAAACTAAAGAATTATGGGGATTATAGGTCTTGAAAGACAAAAGCTTTCCCATTTTGGAGAAAGTGGGAACAAATGGCAATATACAGGTATTTGTTGGTGGTCACTCTTATTGCTGATAGCCTTTTCCAGAAAACCCACAATGAGAATGCACCCTTTCAGCTAGAAACTGTGATGAGCATTTGCAATGTGCAGCTGGAGGACAGCTGTTGGTACTCACTTCCTGCAGGTATGTGAGAGGAAGGACGCGTCCCCCGGCTGAGCAGTGTGTGTTCTCCAGGCAGATGAGCTCAGGGCGGGGGTGATATTTGCTTCTGTGGGACTCCTGGATCTTGCGTTCCACTTCATCAAGACAGAAGGTCCCATTGGGCAGATCCTGCAATAGTTGTGAATGGACTCCAGCCACCTGTTCCAGAGCAAAGTGAATGTGACAAGGCAATGTCAGTGAGAGTGGTACTTCCAGATCAGTTGCTAAATAAGCAGCACCAAAGCTTTAATGCATGGTTGGAAAAGCTTTAGCTCTCCAATGTTTCTCCAATGCATTCAAGTCAGCAGACCCATGATGAAGAGTAAGAGTAGTTGCAATCCAACCAACTTCTAGATCAGTGGTTCTCAACCTGTGGGTCCCCAGGAGTTTTGGCTTACAACTCCCAGAAATCCAAGCCAGTTTACCAGCTGTTAGGGTTTCTGGGAGTTGAAGGCCAAAACATCTGGGGACCCACAGGTTGAGAACCACTGGTCTAGATAGTCAGAAGCCAATTACAAGTTGCCTATCCTTGTAATCATTGGATAAAGTGGGAATTATGTCTAGGTAAGTAAGGACATGCATATGTGACAGACTGTGGCTGTCCTGAGTGTGGACTTCTGAGAAGTCAATAGCAATCTAATGTAGGAGCAGATTCCTAAATTAAATCCTCGCTTCTGATCAAATTGTGCATGTTGTACAAGCATGTGTTTCTGTGTATAACTCCTTCAACTGGATAGACTGTGATATGATCTGCAAGGGCAGATAACGGCTCAGTTATGGTGAGACCTAATAAGAAGTAGAAGTGAAGATTACCCAGAAGTGTTATGAGTACATGAGTTATTTAAATATAAGAAGAATGCAGAGGAAAAATCTGTGTGTGAGTGCAAGCATCATCAATCCCAAATATTATTTGAAATTTCAATATTGACCTTTCTTTTTCTATAAATGGAGGCCACAAAGGCTGGTGCCCTGATTTTAAACATATAACCAAGTTTTGCTGCTATAATCATAAAGACACACAAGCCCCCTCTTAAACAAATCTTTGTTGTAAACCACCTTGAGACCCCCAGGGTTGAGAAAGACGGTGTGTGTGTGTGTGTGTGTGTGTGTACACACACACACACACACACATATATAATCTATATAAATAAAATGTAATGTTTGTTTGTTTATGAGATTAACATAACTCAAAAACCACTGGATGAATTGACACCAAATTTGGACACTACACTCCTAACAGACCAATGAGTGACCATCACTCATAATACCCCCCCAAAAAGCAGTGGAAAGTATTTAAAAACACAAAAAGCTAAATGAAAATGCAGCGCATGCACGAAAACGACTTCCCCCCTGCGCAAGAGAAAAGAAAACAAGCAGCCACCCCAGCTCTCCTTTGCCCATTCCTGTACTACAGTCACATCGGAAGGTTGTGGCCCTTGATGACAGCGGCAGTTGGGAGGAGCGACGAGGAGGCCCAGGGACAACCTGAGGGCACTAACTGTTGAGACTTTGTCCTGCAGGGAGGCATCTCTCTCAAGCTCTGCCTTCGAGCCCAACTCTTTTCCAGCCTATGTCTAGAGGGAAGGAATGAAGGAGGGAAAGGGGGAAGGAAGTTAGGAAGGGAAGGAGGGAGGGAGGGAGGGAAAGAGGGAGGGAAAGAAGGAAAGAAGGAAGGAGTGAAGGAAAGAAGGAGAGAAAGAAGGAAGGGAGGAAGGAAAGAGAGAAGGATGGAATCAAAGTGCAAAGGAAGGAAGGAAGGAGAGGTAGAGAAGGAAGAAAGGAGAAAAAGAGGGAGGGAAAGAAGGAGGGAAGAAAGGAGAAAAAGAAAGGAGGAGAAAAAAGAGGGAGGGAAGGTTGGCCACAGCAATGCATGGCGGGTACAGCTAGTAAAATAAATAAAATCTTGCCCAAAAAACTGTGATAGGTTTGCCTTAAGGCAGAAATGACTTCACCACCTCCACCACAAATACAAGCTTAAGTGTGTTCAGCTCTGGATTAAGGAAGCTGCTAAGAAAGAAAAGGATGCAGCTGTCCCCACTACTGACCACTAGAGGGAAGTACATCACTAGGTTTCTCCCTTTTTCTCCTCAACCACTGGCCTCATTTTTGGAAAAGCCTTGGAAAACCGAGTTCTTTTGTCCCTTTGATGACTTCATTTGCTTTGGCAGCTGCAAGTAATCCAAGGCCTTTCCCATAACACATTCCAGGTATGCCTCTCGAGGTGGTTTAATTACGTGGCTCATGCAGTACTTTTTTTGGATGCTACTTGGGCATAATTTTTCAGTCTTGATATTGGAGCTGGAATGGCTACAAGACACAATCCTCTGAAAAGTTTTCAAATACTGTACTGCTGAATAGTTGCTATCATCTATTAGCATTACTATCACTATGCATTAATATCGCTTCTTTGCTCTAACTGGTTCAAGGCAACACACACAGTGTTCCTCTCCTTTTCACAACAACCCTGTGATGTAGGTCAGGCTGAGAGAATATTGGCTCAAGTGAATGTCATGACAGACTTGAACTTGACTATCCCAACACGATTGACTATATCACTTTGGAATTTTCTCGGATCTTTCAAACGGGAGCGTTGCATAGAAACAAAATGTGATTGAAGAGATTCCAACAATTAATGGTTTTCTCATGTTATGTTTTAAATAGGTTCTTTATATAGATGTAAACCTGAACTTACCAGGATTATTCTGTTGATAATTGCACAGTCCAACAAAAAAAATATGTTTGTCTTGTTTTTTAGGTCTGCTTCTGGAGTTCTTTGGGTTGCTGATTTGGAAAATTGCATTGGATAGTTTACAACTGTTCTAGTTTCTTAGATATGGTTATCGTGGTTTTCTAAGGGTGAGGAAATGGCAACTTGTAAATGGCATATATTCTGTATCTCATAAACTAGATCTGATAGGGAAAAAACTGCTGCCCCTTTTTTGAATCAGCAGGTCTGCTAAGGTTAACATCTGAGGCACCAAAATGTATATTGGCCACCGTTCCCTAAGGGGCTGTGTTGGGTCTTCTCATGCCATGTTTTGATTAAGTTCTTAATATAGATACAACACCTGCCTTACTGGGATTCTTTTGGTAATTCTTCAGTTATTCTTTTGGGTTCTCTCTCACTTTGGAGGTTTTTGTACATGTAACACGAAGACAAACAAAAATGAAGTGTGCTTCTTCGTTTTCTCTATGAAAACATTCCCCTTTGTGCTGTACGAGCCATTCTTGGACTCAGAGATGCCCCACATACAAAAGCCCACCAGATTGTACTGACATTATTGCCACAGGCAAAGAGAAGGCAGATGCTGCTCCAAGTCCCCTTAGGGAGATGGTGGTAGGATATAAATAAAATTATGATGATTAGACACACCATTCTATTTATCTATTTATGTATATAAATTTACCCTTTGCATTTGGCCCAGCTCGCCTTGTTAATTCTTTTTCACTTTATACTATGTGTTATTATGTTACTGTCATTACTTTATTGTATTATTTGATTATTGTTCACATTTTATTTGATTTTATTGTTTGTTGTATGTATTTTATTTTGCCTTATTGTAATTCTTGGGCTTGGCCTCATGTTAGCCACCCCGAGTCCCTTCAGGGAGATGGTGGCGGGGTATAAATAAAGTTTTATTTTATTATTATTATGTAGGTGTCAGAAATATTAAAAATCAACTAGGCATTTTAATTACAAAAATGTGAGTCAAACACTGAAAAGGTTAAATTGATGCAATGACTCTGCAAAAGCCGCGGTTCTATATAAGCAGGTGTGCCTGTAGCTTAGTAGGCCTCGGTGTTAGTTTGCCTCAGTGGGAGAATAGGTCTCAGTGGTAGTTGGCCTCACTGTGGGAGAAAGGCCTCAGAGTGTTAGTTAGGCCTTGTTATGAGAAGGTCTCGTGTATGAAGTTCCAGTGTGAAGTTTGAACTTCATTTGTGTCATGGAAACCTTGCTCTTGCAACTATATTATTTTGCTATAAAGAAAAGCCTCCTATTGAATAGATAACATTGGTCTGTGTATTTTTGTTCTTTTTATAATCTTAGGGATACTGGTGCTGGGTCACTTGCTGCTAATATACTCTGCTGTACATTTATAAGAAGGGTCTTTTGTTAAAAAGTCCACTCGCCCAACAGCAGGTGAAAAAGGAGGCAAGAGCTGTAGGCTATCCCCAATGCCACTTACCTGGGAGACCCCTCCCTGCTCAAAAACATGGATGTGGGACTTCTTCCCGAGTAGGACCTGCGCCCCTCGTCTGTGGCAGTGGCACATGACTAGGGTAAGAAAGGATAGCCATGAGAAGGGGGGAGTCCACCTAGGAAATCACCGCAGGCGGCAGAAACTGGAATATACGGGGAATGGTCATAGATGTCAGGAGATATGAATATGGATTTGTTATTGCCATTTCCACAGAGGCAATACTGTTGTTGTTCTTCCGGTCACTCTTGGAACATATCTGGGTGAGAGCACTTCTTCACATCTGTGATTGTAAGACTAGGGGTGCATCTGCACCAGTGGTTCCCAACCTTTTTTTTTGACCAGGGACCACTCTCTGACATTAGTACCAAAAGAGTTATGAATTGGTTTTTGGTCAACTTTAGATTTGGTTTGGTTATTTGGGGTGCTGATTTAGAAAACTGCATTTGATAGACCACATCAGCTCTAGTTTCTGATACAGAACACATGCCATCCAGTAGTCGCCATCTGCTCAACTACCGAAAACCATATTTAATCAGCCTTGGCACTGTAAGAGAGTTTTGCGAGACCAATCACTTTCTTGTAATGGTGAAGCCGACCGTATTTCAGTTCTTGCAGACCACTGGTGGTCCATGGACCACAGGTTGGAAGTCACTGATCTACATTGTGGAATTAATGCAGTTTGATGCCACTTTAGCTGCCATGGAGCAATGCGATGGGGTCATGGGAGTTGTCATTTTAAAAGGTCTTTAGCCTTATCTGCCAAAGAGAGCTGGTGACGCACCAAACTGCAATGCCTGTGATTCCACTGCATGGAGCCATGATGGTAAAAATAGTGCCAAACTGCATTAATTCTATAGTGTAGGTGCACCCTAGAATATGACCCCTAACACAGAATCTGCATTTCTGTCTTTATTATGTCCAGAGCTTTCCACACTGACAATATTTATTTAAATTAATAAAACAGCATAATGGGTGAAACTGGCATCATAAATCACAATTCTTTTCCCCAGGACAAGCCTTCCTGTCAAGGATAGGGTCAGATGTCGTTGGAGTCTACAACTCTCATCAGTCTTAGCCAATACGATCAATGGAGAGGGATGATGGGAGTTGCAGTCCACCAGCACCAGGTGGGCCACAGTATTCCACAGTTCTGGTGTGAGACTCACCGGCAATGAGGTTGGCCATGGTGGTTGTGGGAACAAACAGAGCCTCTTCCATTCCAAGGAGCTCAGCCGCCACTCTCTGCAGCTCTGGAGGCAGAAAAGAAGCACAAGAGGAATCTAAAAGGCTCAGAGTTATTTTATTAGGTTGGCAAGATCACAGGTAAGTGTTTCTTCATAGCTTAGGTCAGAAAGAAAGAGAAAGAAAGTCCTCTGGCCAAATATATATAATCATTCCATTCTTTTGAAATAAAGTCCAGTCTTGTTATCTTGGCAATGGGATTATTTTACTTTCCACTCTGTTTTGGCAATAGTGTAAGAAAAGCAACAATAGATTATTTTTCCCATTGAGACACATTGTAGCCCTATTCTTTTTTGCTCAAAAGGATAGGGAGTGTGGTGTGAAAGGGTTGGGCTCTATGGCCATGTTCTAGAAGTATTCTCTCCTGACATGTCGCCTGCATTTAAGGCTGGCATCCTTAGAGGTTGTGTGAGGTGTTAAATCCCACAACTAGATCATGAATGATGCCTCCATCACCTGTCCTTCACAGCAGGGGTGGACAAAGTCTAGCTCTTCAGAGGCTTTTGGGCTAACAACTCCCATCATCCTTTGCCCTTAGGGATGCTGGCTGGGGCTGATGGAAGCTGCTGTGCACCAATGAGAGGGTTGTATTTAACAGCCACCAAAAGTGACAGTACTGGCAGACTTCCACATTCATTGGAGGTCAAGATCCCCTTGAAAGTGGGAAAAAACTACTTTGAGCTGAGAGAACACCTCTCTAAATCCTTCAGTGCAATTCTAGGGCGAACTTGAATCACAGAATCATGCTTGAGGGCCTACAAACACTCAGGGAAGTGACCTCACCTCTGAGGATGCTTGCCATAGATGCAGGCGAAACGTCAGGAGAAATGCCTCTAGAACATGGCCATATAGCCTGAAAAAACCCACAAGAACTGAGACTCAGGGAAGTCTTTTCTAGGAATCTCCGAGTCTTCCAGTGCAAATCTCTGGTGAAAGTTGACTGTAGAGTCATACTGGAGGACTTAGGGATTCTCCATGTGTATCAAATCTGGAAAAATGAAATCTGCAAATGTGGAAGTATGACTGTGCTATCATCATAACAAGAATACAGAGGGCAAATTATGTCTTTGGTGAAATATTCAAGGAGGCTCTTTTTTCATTCTTCCTTCCAACAGCAAAGTGATCCCAAGACGTGGTTCACTGAGGTTCAAGGTGCACCTACACTCTCTGATTAATGCACTTTGACCCTACCTGAACTGCCGTGGCTCAACGCTATGGCATCGTGGCAGATATGGTTTCAAAGGCCTTTAGCATTCTCTGCCAACGAGGGCTCACCAGACAACAAATCCATGGCATGGCATTGTTATTGTTATTATTTGATGTAAATTGTTTATTTTAATTTTCTGTTGTAAAATGTTTAGTGTTGTTTTTTCTCTTCTTTTCAAAAAAACTCATTTTTTTGTGTTTTTCCCCCTGTTTACATATTTTATATCATTGCTGTTGATATGCACATTGAATGTTTGCCTGGTTTGTTGGAAACCGTCCTGGGTCCCCACAGGGAGATAGGGTGGGATGCAAATAAAGTTCTATTGTTGCTGTTGCTGTTATTGTTTATGGCAGCTAAAGTGTCAAAGTGCATTAATTCTATGGTGGAGATTAGGCACGGGCAAACTTGGGTCCTCCCTCCAGGTGTTTTGGACTTCGACTCCCACCACTCCCAACAGCCCCAGGCCCCTTCCTTTTCACTTTTCTTTTTCCCTTTCCCGCTTAAGCAGGTGAGGGGGGAAAGCAAAGGGCCTGAGACTGTTAGGAATGGTGGGAGTTGAAGTCCAAAATACCAGGAGGGAGGGCCCAAGTTTGCCCGTGCCTAATCTTCTACAGTGCCTAATCTTTGCCCGTGCCTAATCTTCTACTCTTCTACAGTGTAGCTGAGGCCTGGGCCAACTTCGGCCTGGCGGGAGGTGGAGCCCTCCCAGGGGGCGAGGGGCTCACCATTGACGGTGGGGTCCTCCCCGTAGTCGTCCTGGCCGACTTCCGCCCGAGCCATGGCTTGCCTCATGGCCGGGCTGGGCCGGGTCACGGTGTCGCTCCGCAGGTCCACCACGCGGCTGGCCAGAGCGGGAGGGATGCTGCTCTCCCCCGGGGCGCCAAAAAGGGGCGGG